GTATTCTTCACTTTCTGATAATGGAATGTTGCAGATATTTGGTTTTTTAATTAAATGATTATATGGAACTCTTTTAAACTGTTCCCGCATATTCATGGCTATTTATTTATTTTCGCAAATGCTGAAATTTACGTAATATAGTAAAAAACTCATTGAAAAATTGTCTAGACGACATCTGATAAATTCTTCCGATGTGTTTTTTTATTAGGGGTTTCACTGTATATATTTTTTTCCAGTTTTATTCCAAAAAACTTGTTCTTTTTTTCTGTGACTTTCTAACAAAGATTCATAAATTTATCTGTACGAGGGGGGGGGGGGTTGCAGAAGTCCTTAATTTGTAATCAGCTCCTCCCAAACGTGTTTTGCGGCATGTAAATTTGGAATCAGGAAAAAAACGTTGTTTTTTAGAATACACTCACGTTAAACAAAAGTAAACTTCGCGTAAAATTAAAAACTTATTTGTTTTCACTGAATGATAACTTCTCTTTTTGAAAAGTTATGTTTAGGAGACCAAAAATGTTTTGAATTTTTAATATGTAACCAAATAAAGGAACTAAGTTTTTGCCACAAAAACTCAAATTTTCCAACCCATTTATCTTTGCAACCTGATGGTGTAAACCTATGATATTTCAAAATCAGACTTTTTATCTATCAGAACTCATAGCTTAAAATATCAAAGGTGACATCGGGTTGCAAAGCTAATGGGATTACAGCCCATTCTTCTGCGTAAAATCAAACTAAAGAAGCTACAAGGTCACAAAGACAGAAGGTTAAATTTGCAGTGAATAACCTGAATTTTTCACTGCCCGGATTTGATGAAACGATGCTATATCGTATAAGAATTTCAGGCGAACAATGTTTAGACCATCTTCTTCTATTGATTCATCGTTGCCGCCTTCTTCTTCTCCAGGTGGTTATAGAAATGTTTCCATACTTTTATTTGTCTGCTTTTGATTAAAACATTCAATGTGAGTTTATGTTAGATTCACAACGGTAACCTTTAAACTTATATCTAAGTAAAAATGGAGGAATACATTATAGTTTTCCAAAAGGATATCCTTAATCCCAATCGGTTAATTAATCTGGAGATTAATAACAAGAGGAGAACAAGCATTATTTAATCGCGTGATTAAGAAAAAAGAGTGGATCAAGCATTAATCCTGATATTGACCATTCAAAAATTCCCAGCTCTGATTAATTTTTAATAAGAGAAATATGAAATAGTATTCACATTTGAACAGCTAAACAAAGGTTTGAAGGTACCAATATGAATCCAACATGTAACTATGCACACCTGTCAGTGTCAATAAGAAAAACTGAAAATTAGATCTGATATTTTCCACGTGAATGACACACTAAACTCAGCTATCGTGGTAGGTCAAATAGGCCTTTGATAGGCCGTGTACTATAAAAAGTCTGACAGGGGCCAGGGCCATTAAAATTTAAACCGGGTCAACATAGGATTAGGACGGGCCGGTACATGCCTTATGTCAGTGTCACTGAGAGCGGTACAAGGAGACGGTCTGGTTCGAATTCAAATTAACCCTAGTCCACTGTAATGGGTTATAGAAGTGCTAATTTTAAAACCTAGCTGTATCGCGAGGGCTTAAGAATGTCCAATTTGATGATTTGTAAATGCGACTTACAGGATAATTTTTATCAAATCTTTGATTTTCTTCAAACCTTTTGCAAAGAGTTTTTAATGATTAAATGTTGGTAAGATAAAAAGCTTATTTATAGATACCAAAGTTAAACTAAGATGTCCTAATTGTCATAAAAGATTATGTTTAATCAACTTTAGTGCACAAATATAACTTTAATTTAGGAAATATTGGATTGTACTGGTACAGATTTTGGGATGAAACCAGCATTCCAGGAAAACCATTTTACAAAATTATTTGTTGTTGTAATTTCAAAAAGGGGGCTGACCTTCTTACCCTTTTAAAATCTTTTATCTTAAAAATGTGAAAGATATTGTCATTCTCTGGCTGAAAAAAGGTTTAATACTGACAATTTTCCACGATGTTTCTGCAGCAAAAATTCCCCAGTTGCACTGTTGTGTTGAAAAAACAATTGAAAATGTTCACTGAGATAGCCGGGTGGTTAAAGATAGAGTCACTTAAAAATTACTTGTATAGTCCATTTTCCATGTGTAACAGATTATTGATTTCATAATATTTTTAGATGCAAGATTATATATAATATATATTATATATATATATCCTATATTCTAATTTAAACGCTGGCTTTAAATTAAAAAAATTGGAAATCCGGTTATTACACTACATTTTTTTATTCATGAACAACATTTTTGTTTTGCTTTTAAATTTAAAAACATTTAAAATAAATCAAATACAATTTCTAAATATATATTCATTTCACAATGATTAAATGATGTTTTTCGTTTTTTTATCTAACTGAGTTTGTGATCGTTAATTTACAAACCTAAAAAATAAAACACCCATTGAATTTCTTTCTAACACAAAATTCTAACAAATTCTGAGCCAAACATCATCATCTTTGTAAAATGCAAAAGATTTTCAAATTAAAAAATATTTTAACTAAAAGGGTCCAACTTTAGGAATAAATAATTCCTACAGATCCAGATCTTGTTTTGGAAGGTGAGGGTATGCATTATGCTGAGCGCTGAGATTGACTAACATGTTCATATTAACCCTATCTCTGCTGGGGTATTGAAAACCAGGATATGCTGGGGGGGGGTCAATTTGACCCCCCCCCCTCTAAATCCCCTGTTTGATGTCCAAATATGACAAATGATACATCATTGGAAAGCTCTTGTGCTCTACTTTTAGAATCTGCAAAAAAATTTGCAAATTTGCAAAAATTGAATTTTTTATCGCAAAATCCAGTTATATAGTAAAAAGTTTGAAAAAAAATTGTCCAAAAAAGGAAATTATACATTTTTGAAAAGCCCTTGACCATGCCATTTCAAATTTAATTCGGATATCTATGCTTTATATTCATTCATTCATACATGTTGGTAAGAAAAAAGTTTAATTCGTTTGCTTTCAGAATTTTCATTCATTTTTTTTCTAATTGTTCAAGTCAAAAATTCGCTCAGTGAATCTTTTCATTCAAGAAAATACTTTCATTAGTAAAAAATATCATTTAAAAAAATGTTTATTTAAAAATCTGTCCGTTCCGTAATTTTTTAGTTTTTTTAAAAAATTGTTAGTTAAATAAAAAAATATCGTTTTTTTGATTTAGAAAAAAGTTTATCAACGGGATGACTGATCCATAAAATTCGAACTATTGACAACGATTTTAAATTGTTTGTTTTTTGTTCGTTTTTTTTAATTACTCTGATCGATCCAATTTGTTTGTTTAGTGTTCGTTCATTTTTTGGAATGACACCATCGTTCACAACAAATTTCGTTCAATTTGAAGTATTTCGATGTTCATCTCTACTTATCAGTTTCTAAAGAAAATAGACCTCAATTTTAAATCATTTTTCTCACAATAAATCGTTTTTGACCACAAAATGTTGGTATATGGGCAAAATTTTGAAAAGACGCTTAAAGCAAAATATAAAGGTAATTCTGGAGCTGCATCACAATCTTACTGGTCTCTAATCTAACTAAAGAGATGAACTAGGTCAAATGTTTGCGAATTTCCTAGTCGACTTTGTGACCTCGTAGCGCCTCTAGTTTTGATTTGGTGTATAAATGTGAGAAAAGTAAACATTTCCGGTCACGTTTTATAAATTCAAATAGTTTTAGTTCTTCTCAATAGCTCTTTAATAAGTGAAGTTCTGGTTGAAAAGATTAAAAATTTCAATCTTTCGTGCAATTTACTTTAGTTTAACGTATGAAGATAAGTTTTTATGAATATTAATATTAATATATAGATATATATATTTATCTTGTTTGTCTGCTTGTTTGTTTGTTACCTATTGATACAAAATAAACAAGAACTAACATTTTTCGAATTTTTTTCTTCCGAATTTTCTCAAAACAACTCTTGCGCTTATATCAACACACAACTGTTAGAAATTTCGTTAAACGTTAACAAACTTTTGCTCAAATATTGCAATTTTGTGGAAAAATTGGGATTGGAAACCCATTTATCATTCATGAAAAAAAATAACTTTCCGTGTTTGCTTGATTAAAGCAGGGCGGGCAGGCATTCACACAATGAAGAGTTGTTTTTCCAGGAATTGTTTTCATATCATTTAATGAATTTTATTTCTTCGGAATATTCCCGCATTTACCCTTTATATCATCCATTAAGTACGACGGGGTGTACTTGTCTATTTACCTAGCATTTACTATTCAGGTTTGTATTCAACAATTAAACTACACTAGCGTTTATAATGGCTGTATGCAGTAAAGCAATTAAGGTCTATACTCGTGGAAACGCATTAGAACACGCCATTCAAATTATTATCAAAATAACAATTAATTCATATTATAATGCTTTATGTTTAATGGGCAGTTACATAATTACATGAACAGGGAAATTAAAAATGTCATAATTTGATACAGATTACGAAAAAATGTCATAATCTGATAACAGGGAAATTAAAAATGTCATAATTCTGGACCGATTTGTCTCAAATATTTTGATAGGGGAATTCGGGAGAACCACAGGAATGTTCTCAGCTTGGTTTTGAGATTCTAAGTTGAGTGGGTCGAAAAAATAGTCAAAATCGCAATGTAAGACCAAGTGCGGGTAAACGGCGGGAGTAACTATGGGTATACAACCTGGGCAGCCTCGGGAAATACAGTTAGTTTTTAATAAAACTGAAAAAGGCAATATATCTCTCTTGAAGCCATGAAACAAAAGTGAGACCCAACAAATTTCGGAATAGGAAGAAAAATTAACTTATTAAGTAAAATGAGTGTACACGTGTACTTAATTATAAAAGTCGTCTTCATATTCCAAAAATGAATGGTTTTTGCTATGTGCAGACCAGAGTTTTATCAATTGCTTTTATCTTAAATAAACTAAACTCTTTCTTAAACAAGTTTATAATTAACAGCTTACCCAGTTGAGACGATTGTGAAGTATAGCAACAACCGAACAGTAAGTTTTCTCTAGTATTGTGGCTAATAATCCTATAATATTTTTTTTTAGAATAAAACTTTGCAACCAACTAAAACCTTATATTTTCATTTATAAATATATGTATTATGTTTCATTTGGTTTTAAAGAACATAGTGAAAAAGATCAATAAATAGAGTTTATTCTTTATATAGAGTTATAAAAAGAGAAACAGAAAGAGAAAGGGTTTAAATATAGAAGTCTAAACCAAGTTTTTGTTTCATTTAGTTTCTTTCAGTTTATTTCATATATGAGTGGTTTAGGCCCTAGTTTAAAGATATATAAAGGGTCTATTCAACTTTTCACTTTAAATTTAACATTTACACAAAAGTGCAATGTAAAAGTTTGTTTCTTTAACAAATTTAATGTCACGATTTATTGAGAATGATAAAAGTAGCCCCCCCCCCCCAAGAAAACGTATTTAGAGAAATTGAGAGATCTCGTTTATAATTGATTTTTTTTAACCAAAGAAAGAGCAAATTTAAGTCAACTTTTTCAAGGATAAATACATACAGTCAACACCTCTCTTGACATCTTAATATTTGTGGCATGCAATGTTTATTTTTCATATTATTTTCCAGAATATAGGAACAGGGCTATATACAAATGATGAAACTGCAAAGACGACTGTACGAAATTTATGCTGTATAATTCCTTGCAACTGTAAAATTGAAGAAGATTAACAACTTGGGATCGTCTATATTTTAAGTAGGGTTTCCATTCGCAAAACTTTTGCGCAATTTTTGCGGAACGAAACGCAAAATTTTTCTTTCTTTGCGCATCAGTTTTGCGCGAAAAAACAACAATTTGCGCAATCATTCGCAAAAGTCATTTTGCGCAAAATTGCCCTATTCCGCTTTTGCGAAATTCAAGTTTTGCGCAATTCCGCAACTAGAGTTTTGCGCAATTCCGCAATTTTGTAAAAATCAAACGGTTGGTGACGACGTGTGTGTTTCTTAGAATTCAATTCTGGAAAAATCTTGTTTTGGAATGTCTTCCAATGACAATTAAGAAGAGTTCAAATCTCACAATTTTCTCGACAATTTTAGTTTTGGACATGCATATTTCCTAAAAGTGGATTCTTCAGGCATTGGTTACTTTCTTGCATTATTTTATATGAGATTAAAAAGATTTCAGAAATTTGATTAAAAAAATTTAAGAATATAATTCATACTTGATTAGGCAAAGCTTTTAAGGGTCACTTGAAATTATTTAATAGGATTAAAATATTGCCAAGTTTCACACTCTCTAATTTCTATTTTATTAATTTTGGTCCCTTAATTTAAACTTTTTGTAACTGGAAGTAACCAATTGAGTGTAGTACATAATCGTTATCATACTCGTACGTTAATATTTTTTTATGTATGGAATAAATCTTCAGTTGTTTAATTCTAAGCTTAGAATATCAATTTTTGACAATTTGTCTAAAAAGTTACATTTTGCATAAAACTTGCGGTTTTGCGCAAATTGCGCAAAACTAAAATTTCGTTTCATGCGCAATTTTCACAAAAAATATTTCCGGTTTTGCGCAAATTGCGCAAAAAAAACAGCGCAAAACTCATTGCGTTTCATGCGCAAAAATAGCGCAAAAGTTCGCCAAAAAATTTGCGCGAAAATAGCGCAAATTTTGCGCAAAAGATTTAGCCATTTCGTGGAAACCCTAATTTTAAGTTTCAAGTCGTCTTCACTGTCTTATTCATTGTGGGTAACCCTGTATATTGTTAAGGTTCAGTTTCCAGCCGTGACTGTCTGCAATCACAACAGTGTGCACTGTCAAAATTTGAATGCAAAGGTGAACATTTTTGATCCAACGTAGGAATTAAAAATGGGGGATTCATAAATTTGTGGATTCACAAAATTGGGGGATGCAATTGAGGATTCGTGAAATTGAATGATACATAAAATTGAAGGATTTATGAAATTAATGAGGAGGGGTGGCTAGAAAATTGGAGATCAATAGAATTGGAAGATCCCTTAAAACAAAAAATAAAGATATTAAATTAAATTGTAAACACACTCAAAATATTGAAAACTATATATATACTATGCTAGGGTGTCTGGGTGTTTGTTTGTCTGTTTGTGTCCAATAAACGTAAAAACGGATGAACCGATCGGACCCAAATTTTGTGTGGGTACTCATGTGACCACAAAGAAGGTTTATGAATGATCAAAATGTCAAAATATTTTTGTTTAAAAGTTTTTTGTAGTATATATATACAGACCAAAAAGCCTGGTATATATACATACTTTGCTTGTCTGTTCATTTGTCGTTTGTATCCAGTAAACGTGAAAACGGCTGAACTTATCGGACCAAATTTTTCTGCGGGACTTCAAATGTATGTCCCTAGGGAAGGTTTACGAACCATCAAAATTTCAAAACTTAGCTTTCAACAACATTTGAATGTCATTAATTTTTGAAAAATCCACGCTTTATTTTTATAGAATCCGCGAACATTTCATTTTGTTTTTGTTTTACAATTTACACAAAGAGAAAATGTTCACAATTGAAATAGAAGATGGACGCAAAGCGCCCAAAAAGCCTTGCAATTTCATTATCGGAATGGTATATCCAATATACCAGGCGTATTATGCAGGGTGTCCCGATAAACATGGGAAATAAAAGACGACTTGAATATCGTCTATGACATAAAGTGTGTCAAAAAATTATTGAACGTCTAATGAGCTTTCTACCTTCTTTGTATCTTAAAAATTGACGAAGAAATTAAATATTTAAACAGTTTGTTGATTTTTAACCAACTGGAAACTGGACAAATTTCCTAATATCTCCGTTAAAGGAATTCAGTCTTAGCAACAAACTCAAAATAGCTATTCCCTATAACTTTGTAACCGTTAGTGAAAACTTTTCATATTTCAAAATAAGATTATTTGATCTAAGAGAATTCATAGTTTGAAATATCTAACGGATTGTTAAGAAATGAGGATTAAAAAATTAAAGCTTTTTCCAAAAACTTATTTACGTTAAAAGTAAAAAATGGTAGACCACATTTGGAAATCCTGAGCCTAGTAGTTTTCGGTGTTAAATGTATTAATTTTGATACTACAAAATCAAATTTACGAATAAATCCCACTTGGAACAAAGAGGATAAGAAGTTTTCATTTAATTCTCATGTTTATTGGGACACCCTGTACAATATTTCAATTATTTCAAACAACCATGAACGCAGGGTAATGACAGCCTTTCAGGTAAAAACCTTGATTTCGCATAAATATTTAATCTAAAATCAACAAAAATTATTATGAAAACCAAATTTACCGTAATTTACCGTCTTTCCGAAAATATTTTAAAAATATTTTGAAAATTGTTTTTTGTTAAGTTTTTACAACATTTCTTTACAGATAGTAAGCTGCCGTATAAGTTCCAATTGTACGGATTTCTGTACACTGCTCTGGTTGATGAAAAATACAAATTGTGGAGAGGAAAGATTTTAAAAAATTAAGATTTTACATTTTTTAACATTTTTACATTTTTCAATACAATGAAGACGACTTTATATCTAAGTATTGATTCCCACCAAGCTTATATACAATAAAGACAAATAAGCATAAACATCGGGCACATGCCCCCGGTTTAATGCTGCCGACCAGTCCTTGTAAAGAGAAGTTGTAATTTGCCCTTTAGAACAAAACATTCCAAGTCTCTAAAACTTAATCTTTGAATTAATCTTTGAATAAAGATTTATTAAAGAATTAAAGAATGAGTTATATGAAATAAAAGAAGAATTCAGAATTTTTATTTCTAATTAAGTAGCAGTAAATAATAATTTGTTTATGAAATATAACAAAAACATACAAAATTAAGTGTTTCAGGAGAAAATATTTTAAAACCTCTAAAAATATAGATGTGGAATATTTCCCCCAAATTCTAAAAAAATATTAAAAAATAAAAATCAAAGGAAAAGGAAAGGTACATATTTATTGTTTACATTTTATTTAATATAAATTGGTGGTGGATTGTAAGTATTTTTCGACGATGAACTAAAAACTTTTTGAAATAAAAATTATATATTTATTTGTAATGTTTAAAAAAANTCTCACATAAGGGGGTTAAAGAGGACCGTTTTCAATCATGTACCTCATATCGACAGTCCCTGTAAAAGATAAAATCTATTTTTATTAAATAAAACATAAAATTTGAGCAACAAATTCTTTTTACTAAATAAAACAAAATCACATTTTTATTAGTAATAATATTTTCCATTCATTTTTAAAATAAAAAATAAAAATATACTTTTTTCCCGTTTAGAACAGCACAGTGACCAGTAGCAGTAGAAGGAAAAGGGCCCCTGGTGGACCTCCTCCCCCTGGTCCCCCTAAACTTTCTCCAGATGGTATTCAACCAAATATTATTTTTATTACTATCAAATATTATTAAATATTGTGATCATTGTAAATTCAAACCTTGTTTTTTATTGCCAAACATAATCCAGTCTATATATGTCCCATATCCAGTTTATATATGTCCCATATCCAGTTTATATATGTCCCAATATCCAGTCTATATATGTCCCAATATCCAGTCTATATATGTCCCAATATCCAGTCTGTATATGTCCCAATATCCAGTCTATATATGTCCCATATCCAGTTTATATATGTCTCATATCCAGTTTATATATGTCCCAATATCCAGTCTATATATGTCCCAATATCCAGTCTATATATGTCCCAATATCCATTCTAAATATGTCCCAATATCCAGTTTATTTATGTCCCAATATCCAGTCTACATATGTCCCAATATCCAGTTTATTTATGTCCCAATATCCAGTCTATATATGTGTCCCATAATGTTTATATGAGCAGTGTTGTGCTTGTTTTTAGCCGGAAACATCGAACAGCTAAAAATCTAGAAAATAATGAAACTACAGTTGTCGTCATATATATCAATACAATGAAGACAACTTTAGATTTTTACTGTAAAACAACAAATGAATCAGATAAACATGGAAATATAGAGTGACTGTCCATGAACAGCTTCTCTTTGTTTACTTGTAAACTTGTTATTTGAAAAAGCTTGTTAGAAATAAAAACTTAAATAAAAGTCGTCTTCATTCTATTTATATAAACGCCGACCACTGTAGCAAAGTTAAAGATGAAAATATACAAGCTTCAGCAAACAAAATCATTACGGAGGTTTAATGTTGAGTAAAAAATTTTGGTTTGCTCGACATAACTGAAAAATTATATGGATTTTAGAAGTTGTGATTTGTCAATAAAATTCCGTTTGTAAAATTTAGAAAATGTTAGTTGTATCGGAATGTAATTATTCTTTACTGTTCAGCTGTATCAGCAGCAGTGGAAGCAGAGTTTGAGTTTTTAAAGAAGATTATGATGATGCACGAGTCCACCAGGTAAACTTCTCCTCTTTTTTTCTCAATTATATCTTTCTTTTTCCTTTCTCTTTCCTGTTCTTGTCCTTTCCTTTCCTTTCCTTTCCTTTAATCTTTCCCTTTTATGCATTTCTTTCCTTTCCTGTCCTTTTCCTTTCCTTTCCTTTCTTTTAATCTTTTCCTTTAATGTCTTTCTTTTTCCTTTCCCTTTCCTTTCCTTTCCTTTAATCTTGTTCTATATCTTTCTTTTTCCTTTTTTCCCTTCCCTTTTCTGTCCTTTTCCTTTCCGTTTCTTCTCCTTTCCTTTTCTTTTCTTTTCTTTTCCTTTCCTTTCCTTTTCCTTACCGTTTACTTTTCCGTTTCCCATTCTTTCCGTATCTTTTCCCTATTCCTTTTCTTATTTCTTTCCCTATTACTTTCCATTTCAATTCCCTATGCGTTCCTTTTAATTTTTCTCTTTTTTCTTTTTCTTTTCCTGTTTGCTTTTCCCTTTGCTTTCTTTTTCCTTTCCCTTTCCCCTTCCTCTCGTCCTTCCTTTCTTAAATGTTTAATATTCTAGGCTTGAGATAGGACATCAGTATACAGATTTTATCAAGGAATGCACCTTCAGAGGAAATGATTGTTTAAAGGCAATGTAAGGAAAATATTTCTACCTTTAGGCTTAAAAGGAAAAGTGTGCAATTGGCCTTTTGGTCTTTTATGCAATTAGTACTAACCAATGACAATTTAGCTTGTTTAAAGGATGCAAAAAATATTATGAGCAAGAAAGATGTCAAAAATATTCAAAATAGCATTCATCTTGAATTTTGTAAATTTTGCTAAAGCGTTGTATTTCTAAATTTACTTTTGTTGTATATTTATGAAAACAAGGATATAGTTTTAAATAAAGAAATAGCGTTTATTATGATCAAAATCCGATGATTATCATTAATATATAAGAAATACATTTAAATTTACCAATTAATCATATTTGGTTTTAATAATACCTCTGTTGTTGTCATTTTTTATCGTTATTATTATTTTATTTCCAGTTTTATTCACTTTCTGTTAAGATCAAAATTAATTGAAACTTTATCATTTAGATATTTTCGCACCTCACTCAGTGCAAAATATGGAATCTGTTTTACATTTAATTCAGGCAGAAAGAAATAATTTCGGTGGATGATTTAAATAAGATAATTCCAACACATTGATTGATTAAGTTAATTTTTAGGTTTTTCAAATTCTAAGATTTTAACTTGGATTTTAACAAATGGAAGATAATTTGTAAAGATTGATTTGTCTTAGCTGAGCTGGGAACTTTAGAATGGGATAATCCTTAATCCCGATCGCTTAATTAATCTGGAGATGAAGAAAAAGAGGAGTTTAAGTATTAATCCCGATAACCACCATTCAAAAGTTCCCAGCTCTGGAAACTCTTGCATTATGGATATCCAGATCAACGCTTGAACTCGATCTTTTGCTAATCTGCAGAATAATTGTAATTGTAATAATTGTAATTGTAATTGGTAATTGTACACAGGGATCAAGCTATTGGGATTATAAGTAATCAACACAAAAATACATTATATATCGAGCTCAATACTTCAAGATTAAGATTATCCACACAAAAGTTCCGATCTCAGCTCATGTAGGGATATTTAATACTTAAAAATTTCTTTTAAATTTTGTGTTTTACGTAAATATTACGTTTAAAGAGACTGTATAAAGGAAAAATGAAAGGGGGTATAGGCTGAAACCTAAGAATCTCAGGTTTTGATCGAGACCTATAAAACGTCTATCTGGTGTTTCTGTCTCGAGAAATTTATATAAAACTGTGTCAAATTTATTCGAAAATCCATATATATGCAATTTTGAATAAACGTTGTAGTATTAAGCAGATCATATTCCACAAATACGAAACCAATCTGAAAACGACGATATTCCACAGAAACCTGAGAATTTCAGGTTTGCTCCTGTTACAATTATTTTATTTATTTTTTGCAATTTTAATAATATAATTGTTAATTTTATTACAAATAGTCCGTATAGTCCGTATTACTTCACCAGAAATGTCAGTCAATGGCAGTGCAGTATACTGATCACGGGATTTCCGTCTGTATCAAGTGAGCAGTATACTGCACTTTCATTGACGGGAGTTCTTGTGACGTAATACGGACTTTTAAATGATATAAATAAATATAAATATTGTTCAACGCCTTAGGTTCTCGGGTTTTTATCCATTTCATATTTCCTTTACAGTCCCTTTAAAAAAATATTTATAGCATATACATTGCATTTTTAATTCAAGTTTAAAAAAGAAATTTCTTCTGGTTTACAGCTTTTAACCTTCTGGATTCCGACGCTGGAAACAGGAGGGTTGCAGGTAAAGAGAGGGGGGGGGGTAAATGGAAGGGGCGGGTAATTAGAAGGGGATTGGTAAATGACAGGGGACGGGAAAGTGTAAGGGTCTGGTAAATGACAGGTTGTGGAACTTATAAGGGTGGATTGGTGGAATGGGATTGGTAATTTAAAGCATTACAAACTGGAATAATTAGATTTAAATTTTCTTTTTTTAAATTTTAGTGACAGGGCCAAATTTCGGGTTGAATCTTGTTCTAAACCTTGAACAGGTAAATTGTATATTGTATATTGTATATTGTATATTGTAATGTATATTGTATATTGTATATTGTACATAGTATATTGTATATTGTATAATGTATTGTATATCGTATATTGTATACAGGGTGCCCAACGAAATATGACTGATGAGAGATGATCTAAATATTCTTCGGTTCTTACACCATAATCATACAAACATTATTATTATTATTCAACCATCACAAAATACCCTTTTTATGCTTTTTGATTAAAGTTTTGTAAATTATTTATTGATAGTTTTATGAATCATATATGTAAAAGAAGATTAGCGAAATAATGCCGCAAATAGTTTAACATATCAAAGATGATCGTTAACTTATATCATCAACTGTCATGTGTCATGCATGGGGCACCATGTATTATTGTTTTATGGGTATAATACATGGTTCCAATTGAGCGCCGGCTTAAATCTTGAAACATTGAATACATTGCTTAAGTAGAACCAACCATATTTGAGCCGCGTCTCAAATTTAACCCTAAAAAGGCTGAGGGGGGGGGGGGCGTGAGTCGGCCCTATAGTTTTATTTGTCCTAGCACTATCATTTTTGACACTATCACCGTGAAATGTTATGACTTTTAATGAATAGTAATTCAATTTTTTTTTAAATTATATATTTTTGAAGAGCCCTTGAAAAATGCATGTAGAAACATGTGTCACACTTTGATATTTGTTTAAAACAACAAACACTTTTTTCTTTTTTTTGACCCTTTTTTATACATTTTTTTCCACCCTCCCTAGCACCCAAACTAATAAAGTTATCGGTCTAATTTTTTTTCTTTGAGCTGGCCATGAAAAATTGGGCTATGAACAAGCATTTCAACCCTATACCTATTCTCTAAAGCCTTTTCTAGGTGGGGGGGGGGTGGCGCAAAACGCCAAACGCCCCCCCAGGCTATTCATAGATTCAGATCCCCCAGCTTTTAAAGGTTCTGGTTAAGCCACGGCTCAAATTCTTTAAATTTGTTCTCAGGCCATGTACATGAAAAGAGGACAAACACAAAGCGCTGCTGCTAGAGTTCAAATACATTCACCTGAGCTACATCATCAAGTTGAGGTATTACAGATTCTTTAGATTACAGTTTCAATCTTTTCCGAAATAATTTCATGATGAAAATGTCTCACGAAAACGTTCCTAGAGCTGTTAAGAATGAAAAATGATTTTAAAAATGAGGAAATGAGGAGCTTTCTTCAACCAACGATTCAACATGGTTCATAAATGAACTCAAATTTCAGCTTAAAGAATAATGATTGTAGCAAATATAGAGGCCCATAACAAACTGCATTGTACATTGTATATATAAGTGAATGTGCCCATTAATAAATACGTAATTCATGTATTGCAATTAACCCATTCAATGTCCATAGATATATATATCTTCGTCATTTTGTGGTTGCTTAACTACTTTATATATAATAGCGCACAAATTACGCTGTTAAAGAACCCAATTCCAATCTAAGCTGAAGAAATATACCTTAGCAATAGAGACTCCGCACTGTTTACTGTGAGAGAGTAATCGTTTCCTGTTTTGATAAACAGGTTGAGGATCGTGGCTATTTGATTTGGCATTGATTATTAAGAGCTTATGATTGATATTGATAGCTAATGAGATCGCACCCAGTGGTGGTGGGGTTGATAGTCCACGGGATTGTAGCCGTGTGAATCGTGTCCTAGTTAAGACATTGATAAGTATCACAGGATTGTAGCCGTGTGTTGACATTGATAGTCAAGATAACCTGCAAGTTGTACCTGGATAGATACTTGTTTGGGAAATCGTTATGGAGTAGGACTACTTAATGACTCCGCAATACTTGATCCACTTAGAATTACGCGTACATTCAGGCACTATAGGTAAAAAGAAACTAAAGCAAATTGAATTGAATGACTTGACGTTTTAAACCTGTTTATCCATGCATTGTATTAAATGTAATATTAAACTTAGTAAAAATTGGAATAATTTCATATCCCCCCCCCTCCAGGTCTTTGAGTACATTTCCAAACTCATAATAATTTGTATTGGCATTTAACCTCTCTTTATAATTTAATGCATAACAAAATTTAGTTTTACGCAGAGGCCGGAATTTTTGTATGTAAGAACGGTAATCTACAAAATCTAGAAATTGCTAAATCCGCGAAAAACAGCTTATTCGAACATTTACCGAGAAAAAAAGAGATTAACTAATCTGTTGATCTTCAAAATATACTGTATAGTGCTTTTGTCCTTGAGTCCTGTTTGCATAAAGCAAACAGCAAATCAGAAGCGGTGAAATTTTATCTAAAAAGAAAGGATTAAGCAGAAAATCAAATATTCACAGTTAATATTAAGATTAAGTGAACGGGATTAAGGGAATATTAAGATTAAGTGAACGGGATTAAGGGAATATTAAGATTAAGTAAACGGGATTAAGGAAATATTGAGATTAAGTGAACGGGATTAAGGGAATATTGAGATTAAGTGAACGGGATTAAGAGAATATTGAGATGAAGTGAACGGGATTAAGGGTATCAAACACAAGAGTTTCCAGCTCTAAAGGCCAAGGTACCCCGGACTAACCAGAGTTCGGTTTTTTTAATCAAACGTGTTTTGGTCTATAATTCAACAATCTTTAAACTGAAGGATTTGTTTTTTCTAAACTTTTTCATTCAAAACGTATATGCCGACAAAAAAGTATTTAAGAAAAGAGGATTAAAAATTATTTTTAATGGGTCAAATTGTTATCGATAGTCAAAGCTTTCAAAAATATTGACAGAACCGTTGCATCCACGTGAAGGGACTAACCATGCAAAAATAAAACTCAGATATTGTAGGAACTGGGCACTGATGCACATCCAAACACTAAAACCAACATGGCTGTTCAGTCGGTAAGTTCTTCTTCCGGCACTGTACACTCCAGTTCATTTCTAGTACCGGGCTGAATTTCGACCAGGCCAGAACATGCTGTACATTACAAATACAGACTATATGAGGCAAAACGGGACGGTACAAAAATTAAATGATCACCTTCTATCTGGACTTTTGATCTTCAACATCAGCATGTCGGAGCTCAATTTCATTAAATAACATGATTTTTAAAAAGGCTGCTCCAGCAAAAATATTTGCTCTAGCAAAACTATTTGCTCTAGCAAAACTATTTGCTCTAGCAAAACTATTTGCTCTAGCAAAACTATTTGCTCTAGCAAAACTATTTGCTCTAGCAAAACTATTTGCTCTAGCAAAACTATTTGCTCTAGCAAAACTATTTGCTCTAGCAAAACTATTTGCTCTAGCAAAACTATTTGCTCTAGCAAAACTATTTGCTCTAGCAAAACTATTTGCTCTAGCAAAACTATTTGCTCTAGCAAAACTATTTGCTCTAGCAAAACTATTTGCTCTAGCAAAACTATTTGCTCTAGCAAAACTATTTGCTCTAGCAAAACTATTTGCTCTAGCAAAACTATTTGCTCTAGCAAAACTATTTGCTCTAGCAAAACTATTTGCTCTAGCAAAACTATTTGCTCTAGCAAAACTATTTGCTCTAGCAAAACTATTTGCTCTAGCAAAACTATTTGCTCTAGCAAAACTATTTGCTCTAGCAAAACTATTTGCTCTAGCAAAACTATTTGCTCTAGCAAAACTATTTGCTCTAGCAAAACTATTTGCTCTAGCAAAACTATTTGCTCTAGCAAAACTATTTGCTCTAGCAAAACTATTTGCTCTAGCAAAACTATTTGCTCTAGCAAAACTATTTGCTCTAGCAAAACTATTTGCTCTAGCAAAACTATTTGCTGCAGCAAAACTATTTGCTCTAGTAACATCAAATGCATTTTTTTTAATGTCTTCTTCTTATTTCCTAGTTTCATTAGTCCAACCGGAAATATATTTTATAATAATATATTTAGATTAAATACCTAAGTCTTATAAGGTGATTGGTGGGAGTAAATCACAACTGCAGTAGCGCTTTTAGCCTAGCTTGCCTGGCGAAATGTGTCGATTTTCCTATCGGCTGATTAGGATGCCATGTTCAGCGTGACTTTTAATGGGGAAATTTCATATTAAAAACCAAAATTTTAAAATGCTCATAACATGTAAATGACAAAATATAAAGTAATTTAAAGATGTAGTATTCAAATTAAAGACGACAATATCAAACTAAAAAATAATTAGCAAATCATGCGACATTTTCTTTAAATGCACATAAAAACAAATTTGATTTTTAGTTTTAACTTTCAGATCATGAATTATCTGAATTTAAGAATACACGCTTTTTAAACCACAGTTTTTATTGGGTAATTTCTTAGAGAGCGATTTTTGCACCCCTCTAGTCAATTTTGTACATGGATCATAAATGTAAGAGGATCCTAAGACATGTGGCCGCAGCGCTCGGCCCCCTAGCCTGTCCTAGCGACAGCTCTCGGCCCAGAAAGTGTTTTAACTTAACCTAACCCGCGGCCACAGCGCTCGGTCCCCTAGCCTGTCCTAGCCGCAGCGCTCCGCCCAGAAAGTGTCTTAACCTAACCTAACCCTAAATAATAAAAAAATAAATAATAATAAAAAATAAATAATAATAAACTTGCTAAAAAATAAGTGGTCATGTACAAAATTGATAGTAGGGGGGGTGGTCGGGAGGGCGGGGGCCGCCAAAAATCGTTCTCTAGGACAGACCCAAAAATTGTGAACAAAAAAAAAACCCTGTATAAAATTCCTATGTATCACAATTATCACTTATAATACAAATAAGAGCTATAGTGAAAGATTTATTATGTTTAAAATTTGAACTGGAAGAATTTATATTTTGTCTGAAAATAAAACTGTAATCCAATTTTTTAAATGTATTCTGTTTTATCTCTAGTCATTTTCCGGAAACCGCACAATATAAATTCTAAAAAACTAAAGCTAAAATAAGTGCTTTAAAGTTCTTCATATTCATATTCATTTCTAGGGCTACAAAAAAGGTTATAGGGCCGGAGTTAGAGTGGTAAAACAGGCCACGGCGTTGCTACACTCCTTAAATTCAGATTCAACATTTATTATTTTTAAGATGATGATAAGTCGCCAGCAAAGCCCTTATGAGTCTGAATGCTACGGAGGTAAGAGAGTTAGAAAGTGAAACTCAAAACTTATGATATTTACAATTAATGTTGGAAATTTATATTGATGATAATTATGCTAATTATGAATTATTAACACTCGATTAAATGTATATATGATTATAAAGGAATGTCGTAATCAATTGAAAGCACTTAAAAATGTTTACATAAGAATTGACGAAAGTTCTAATATTCAGGGGGTAAAAACAGGACGTTGTAAAAATGATTAAAAACAGTTGTAGACAGAACATTTGTTCGATTTTTTTTTCAATTTGATCTGAGCAAAATTTGAGATTGAAATATTATAAAGTCAAGTATGCATAAAAAGTTCCCATTTCACAAAAAAGAATAAAAAATGTATAAGTTCAGGGATTCGATAATAATGTAATTTCTGAAATGATAAATATGCAATGAGGATAGATTGATCTCGATATCCACTGTGAGCACTTTTAATTTGAGAATCAATACTTAATCTCTTCACTTCAGTTTTTTAACAAAATATCGAGATCAAGTTTGATCTGGATATCTATAATACATAAGTTCCCAACTCCCTGGCTCTGATTAATGAAGAAATTATATTTTAGAATGGGATTCGACTAACTATACACAGTACGATACGGAGGGGCTCACGTACAGTACTGCGGTAAAAAAATACAATTTAATTAAAAAAATTTTGATTCTTAACAAAAAATTGAGCTTTGTCACAAACTCTGATTTCCCCTTTATCTTTGCACCCCAAAGATATAGGGATTAGAATATTTAAGTTTGTGGCGAAAACTCAATTCCTTTAATCAGTTTCTTTACTAATCAAAAATAAATTGAATGAAAATAGATGCAGTGATTTTTTAATCCTTATATCTTTGCAACCCAAAGTCGTTCACCATATAAATTTAGAATTCATACCAATTAAAAGTTAAGATTTACACAATCAAGTTTTAAAGATATAGTGATTAGAACTTCAAAGCTTCTATTAAGTTCCTTTCTATTAAGCAATGTAAAATATATTGCCTTCAATCAGTTACTTTCTATTAAGCAATGTGAAAGATACTGCCTACAATCAGTTCCTTTCTATTAAGCAATGTGAAAGATATTGACTTCAATCAGTTCCTTTCAGTTAAGCTATGTGAAAGATATTGACTTAAATCAGTTACTTTCTATTAAGCAATGTGAAAGATATTGCCTTCAATCAGTTACTTTCTATTAAGCAATGTGAAAGATATTGACTTAAATCAACTCCTTTTTAGTAAGCAATGTGAAAGATATTGACTTCAATCAGTTGCTTTCTATTAAACAATGTGAAAGATATTGACTTAAATCAGTTACTTTCTATTAAGCAATGTGAAAGATATTGCCTTAAATCAGTTACTTTATATTAAGCAATGTGAAAGATATTGCCTTCAATCAGTTCCTTTCTATTAAGCAATGTGAAAGATATTACCTTCAATCAGTTCCTTTCTATTAAGCAATGTGAAAGATACTGCCTGCAATCCAGCTTCACCTATGAGTGTGGATGTTTCCATCCTCTCTACCTGGATCGTGAGATTGATAAAATGGGATTCTCACCCTGCGATCTTCGTTCAACCAGTTCAGTTTCAATTTTCTTATAATTCGGTCTGGGGACAGCGATAACCAGAAACATATGAAATTGGAAGACGACTTTTGGAATAGAGTTATCAGTTTTAAAGGTCCACTGAGCATGAGACACAGCAATTTGCTATGTATATATAAGCAGACTCATTTTACACAAGCCTAAAAGTTGCATGACCCGAGCACAACATGTACTGTATAGTGTATATGCATTTAGTCGTACCGTCCAGTCTGCACTACCCCATGTAGAGTCGACCCAACGCGTTTCATGCAAAAAATGTAGCCTAGAAAGAGCAAAATGATTTTACCAAAATAGTAATTTAATATGTGTCTAATAAAACTATTCACTTTGTAACAACATCAAACACACTTAAGTAATGCAATAAGGTCGTCTTCTTATTACGTTGTTTACTAGGGTTATCACTGTAGTTAAACTAGGTCTGGCTAGTTGAACTAATTCTCTAGTTCATACTCGGCCCCAAAGTACTGTTCAACTTTATACAGTGAGAACCAGAAAACTGTGAATGAATGAAGCTGATGTTGTTACAAAGCAAATAGTTAACTAGTAACTTATTAAATCGCATATTATTTAAATGAGTCCGGGTCCTTTTCCCATTAAATATAATATTATTGATCTCTAGGTGATAACTGCAGCTGTATATTTAATCTTAATCTCTAGGTGATGAGTACAGCTGTATATCTAATATTAATCTTTAGGTGATGAGTACACCTGTATATCTAATATTAATCTTTAGGTGATGAGTACACCTTTATATCTAATATGAATGATCTCCAGGTGATAAGTACACCTGTATATCTAATATTGACCTCAAGGTGAGAGTACATCTGTATCTGATATATACTTTGCTTGTCTGTCTGTCATTTTGTTTCTATCCAATAAACGTCAAAACGGTTGAACAGATCAGGCCCAAATTTTGTGTATGACATCACATGACCCCAGGAAAGGTTATGGATGATCTAAATTTTAAAAATCGAAAAAAACAGCTCTAAATCTAATATTTATCTCTAGGTGATAAGATCAGCTGTATATCTAATATTATTAATCTCTAGGTGATGATTACACCTGTATATCTAATATTATTGATCTCTAAGTGATGATTACACCTGTATATCTAATATTATTGATCTCTAAGCGATGATTACACCTGTATATCTAATATTATTGATCTCTAGGTGATGAGTACACCTGTATATCTAATATTATTGATATCTAGGTGATGAGTACAATATATCTAATATTATTGATATCTAGGTGATGAGTATACCTGCATATCTAATATTATTGATCTCTAGGTGATGAGTACACCTGTATATCTAATATGAATGATCTCTAGATGATGAGTACACCTGCATATCTAATATTATTGATCTCTAGGTAATGAGTACACCTGTATATCTAACATTATTGATATCTAGGTGATGTGTACACCTTTATATCTAATATAATTTATACCTTGGTGATTTGTACACCTGTATATCTAATATTATCGATATCTTGGTGATGAGTATACCTGTATATCTAATATTATTGATCTCTAGGTGATGGGTACACCTGTATGTCTAATATTATTTATATCTTGGTGATGAGTACACCTGCATATCTAATATAATTGATATCTTGGTGATGAGTACACCTGTATATCTAATATAAATGATCTCTAGGTGATGAGTACACTTGTATATCTAATATAGTTAATATCTTGGTGATGTGTACATGTATATCTAATATGAATGATCTCTAAGTGATGAGTACACCTGTATATCTAATATAATTAATATCTAGGTGATGTGTACACCTGTATATCTAATAATTTGATCTCTAGGTAATGAGTACACCTGTATATCTAATATGAATGATTTCTAGGTGATGAGTACACCTGTATATCTAATATGAATGATCTCTAGGTGATGAGTACACCTGTATATCTAATATGAATGATCTCTAGGTGATGAGTACACCTGTATATCTAATAATTTGATCTCTAGGTGATGAGTACACCTGTATATCTAATATTATTGATATCTAGGTGATGAGTACAAAGCTGTATATCTAATATTATTGATCTCTAGGTGATGAGTACACCTGTATATAAACAATTATTGATCTATAGATAATGAGTACACTTGCATATCTAATAATATTGATCTAGGTGATGAGTACACCTGTATATCTAATATGAATGATCTCTAGGTGATGAGTACACCTGTATATCTAATATAGTTGCTGAGTTTGATGCTGAGATAAGAATTTGTAATTGTAACCCTGCCTGCCAGGTTAGAATAAAGAGATAATATTTTTTTGAAATTCTAAGGTTTTAAAGATTTTTAAAAATCAAAGTTTGAAAATGCGCACAAAAAATAAGTAATCCCGCGAAATGTATTTGTTTGTTATTGTTTTATACTGTACAAAGAGAAAATGCTCACAGATAGAGCCACAATTAATTTTATACAGAGTTTCGCACAAAACCTGAAAGCTAAGAGCCCACTTAAATTTTAAATTTTTTTTTTTAAATAATAAAAAAAAATCCACGGGCAACGCCGGGCCCTTCAGCTAGTTACAAATGAAATACTAGATACAATTTTCACTATATCAGGGCATTTCCTAAATGTTTCGTGCTCTCTAACTTATCGGACATATAATGAACTTATAACAGATTAAGACAAGTTTGGTTTTATTTGATAAAGAATGAAGACGATCTTTAAATCTCCTCTCCACTGTCATGTTTAGTTGGACACCCTGTATTTTCATTATTTTTGCAATATATTTGACAGTCTTAAAAATCGGATTAATTAAGCAGAGACGGGTAAAATTTATAATGGAAAATTGGAGCTTGTGAGGACAAAATTTTTTAATGTTATGGATTTATTTCAGGAACAAATTTATAATTTGGAAACTTCTTCAGCACAATGGCCAGCTAAGCAATATGAGGTTATAAAATCTTTTTAAATCCACATTGGAATCATAAAATATTTTTTCACCGAACTAAAACATAATAATATCCATAGCCCGCGATTTAAAAGCTTCATCTTTAGTTTTAATTCCTAATACCCAGGTTTAAGGCTCAATCTTATAAGACACAAAATATGAATTAGCTGATGACAGCTTTAAGTCACGTGATCCGACAGCGGCCAGCTCTTAGGCTAAACTTATATAAGAAGTTAGGCCCGATGGAACTAAACAAACGTACCTTGGTTGGTTTTAGTGGAATATTAGTCTCAATGTTGAGTCTAATTCGAATCATCTATAAATTCCAACCATAAAAAAATCCCCAAAATACAATATTTAACCGGGTTAATAAATCAAACTCTGAGGAAAATTAGTTGCAACCTAAATCCCGAAGCTTGAGTCTTTAATTCGTCTTATTTTACCTCGTGGGCTCTGTTTGTCTTAATTTAATGGCTTGCAACCATTCTTTTTAAAACCACTTTTTTAAATTAAAAGCTTTTATGTGTTATATTGTTTGGGACAGAAGATTTATAAGAAAACAATCCATACTTAAGTAAAACATAAAAAGAAAATGTCCAGTTCCTTAAATATCAACATAAGACTTTAATTAAAAATGCAATAAAGAGACTGTAATTGTAACTTCCAGTGACCCTCCATGCAAAGAGGGCATTGCCGATTTACAATGGTACCCTAAAAACCTTTGTTTGTGGAGTACAGAGATATTTGTGTTTAATCTTACTGAAACCTGGTTGTGTTCAGATACAAATAAAAGCATACGCTGTGTTAAGTTCAGACTATACGTAACTCAGCACAGCGTACGCTTGAATTTGCAGCTTAAAGAAAGTCCCAACTGCAGTCAAAACAAAAGTGACAAGAGAAGAAATTAAATGCAATTAAAGAAGAAGTTAATACACAACTAAACTTCTTTTTACTCATTTAAAAATTTCAATCTGAACATATTTTTTTATCAAAATCTCAGTTACACCTTAATAAAATAAAAAAATTAACAGCTTCAATTATGTTGGTATTTCAGGCGATTGCAAATTCTTTGTATGGATTTGATTCTACAACTAGTAAAAGGAGAAGAAGAAGTGTTCTTAACTCAGCCTTAGATACTTATCAGACTCTGACAGGTACAGTGTTTCACACAATAGTTTTCTGCATGATTCATTGCATATATACCATGATACATATATTCATCTTTTCATAATTTAGGTGGTCAAACAGTTCAAGGAGGTCAAACAGTTCAAGAAAGTCAAACAGTTCAAGGATCAAACAGTTCAAGGAAGTCAAACAGTTCAAGAAGGTCAAACAGTTCAAGAAGTCAAACAGTTCAAGGAAGTCAAACAGTTCAAGAAGGTCAAACAGTTCAAGGAGGTCAAACAGTTCAAGAAAGTCAAACAGTTCAAGGAGGTCAAACAGTTCAAGAAAGTCAAACAGTTCAAGGAGGTCAAATAGTTCAAGGAGGTCAAACAGTTCAAGGAATTCAAACAGTTCAAGGAGGTCAAACAGTTCAAGGAGGTCAACTAGTTCAAGGAGGTCAAACAGTTCAAGAAGGTCAAACAGTTCAAGGAGGTCAAACAGTTCAAGAAAGTCAAACAGTTCAAGGAGGTCAAACAGTTCAAGGAGGTCAAACAGATCAAGGAAGTCAAACAGTTCAAGGAAGTCAAACAGTTCAAGGAAGTCAAACAGTTCAAGGAGGTCAAACAGTTCAAGGAAGTCAAACAGTTCAAGGAGGTCAAACAGTTCAAGAAAGTCAAACAGTTCAAGGAGGTCAAACAGTTCAAGGAGGTCAAACAGTTCAAGGAGGTCAAACAGTTCAAGGAGAGTTCAAGGAGGTCAAACAGTTCAAGGAGGTCAAACAGTTCAAGGAGGTCAAACAGTTCAAGGAGAACAAGTTGGGCAAGGAGATCAAGGAGGAGGAGGAGGTCCACCCCCCTCCCTGGCTGAGAACCTAGTATCCGTGGTGGTGTACTTCACCTCCTTGAACGTAAACAGGATTGAGGAGTCACCTAAGTATTCGGTAAGTATATTTTACAGTCTACTCTATGGGTACTGGAATAGGGTATCGCAACAAGGCTCGGGCACGAATGGAAGATCGATACGGTACGGGGAAGAACTGTACATGTCTGACGTCACTGATTAAAACTATTGGTGGAGAATTCCCAGTCCGCCAAATAAATGTCAATCACAATTATGCGTATACTCGCCTACAACAGATCTTATCCCGAGACAGTTCTTGGACCACTGCCCTATCCTCTGTGTCCTGTACCGCAGGCAAGGTACAGAAACCAGAATCACTATAATTGTTTGACTACCTTACCCTATTCCAGTACCCATGGTCTACTCTGTACAATGTATTCCGTACACATTATACAATTGCAAGCACTGTACACCTGTACAATGTAAACTGCACGGTGCTCGCTTGACATCTGAGCCCGAAATTTAAAAGAGTATCGTTGAACGAAACTCTCGAGTTTCCTTTATGGGGTCTAAGCATTATTGTAGATTTTGATTTAAAAGATTTAAAAAGTGGAGATTATGAAGAAAATAAATAAAATGATATTTCACAACAAAAAATATTGATATCCACAAAACTGCCTAACCCCATTCGCGAAACCCGGGTTTTAAAACTGGTTTTCATTACGATACCCTGTTTTAAGTTTTGGGCTCTCAGCCCAAACCTAAGACAGGGTATCATTATGAAAACCAGTTTTATAAACCCGGGTTTCACGAATGGGGTTAGACAGTTTTGTGAATATCAATATTTTTGTAATGAAATATAAGTTTTCAGTGTGTTTTTATTCCCCATTTTTTCGAATCACTTAAATCAAAATCTACACAAATGTTCAGACCCCAAAAAGGAAACTCGGGAGTTTGTTCAACGATACTCTTTTAAATTTCAGGCTCAGTAATATATTGTAACTGTATATTGTAATATTTTTAAACTCGCCTTTTATTTTTCTTTAAATGATGTATTTAACTAAAAAAAATTTAAAAGTAAAATACGAACATATAATATACAGTTAAAACTTAACGCTGCAAAGAAAAAATCGTATGTTCTTAAACATAGAGAATAGAATATATGTTAGAGAGGAATTTAAAGAATCTCTCGGTATGAATTTTTTCAGTCCCTTTAAGCCTGAAAGGAAGTTCAAAGTGTACAAATCATGTAAATGTTCACAAATTATATGCAGTAGAGTATATTAATACAGTATGTTCCCTAGATTATTCATTTCAATTTCGAATTTTTTAAAGCTGTTAAATAAACTTTATAATGAATTAGGTGAATAAAAAACATCATTTGATTAATATTTATAACGAAAAATCATCGTTTGTAAAGTGAAAGGCATAAAGTCTATGTGAAATGATCATTGGTCAATTATGAAACCAGCCTAGTTCATAATTTGGTTTTCTTTTAACAATAATTATAGATTTCTATAAAATTATATTCCAGGGCCCAAAAGGTTACATACAGGGTGTCCCACGAAACATGACAGTTGGTGAATAGTTTAAAATGTCTTTTCCCATAATTTGTTAAGTTGTTTGATACCAAAGATCAATAAAAATATTATATGGGAGTCATGCTATATTAAAATTACTTTCAAAGTAAAATTTAATGAAACAATAGATTTGTTTAACTTAAAATAACGATTTATTAAATGTCATAGTTCGTGGGACACCCTGTAGCATAAATATGTGAAGTACACCTGCAGTATGGAAACAGTACAATAAAATGGCCGTTTTACACTTTTTTCTAGTAAATTCCATTCTAATATATATTCTATTCTCTAAGTTCTGAAAGGGACAAGGTTACACTTCAAGTCGGAGTCTGATCATTGACTGATGAATGCGATATCCTACTCTTTCTCTCTCTCGAAACAAAATATTTTTCTTAATTTTTGTTTTTCTGTTAAAGTAACTTGCAGATATTTGCCACTGTAACAATAAAGGAAATTTTTAGAAATATCGCGTGATAACAATATATTTCTAATCATTACACAGATAATTAATCAGATAAAGGTTTGAAAGGTAACGTTGTGAATCGCCCATGCCGTTCTGTAATTGAAGAGTCACTAGAAATTACGTCTACAGTCCCTTTAAAGGGACCGTTCCCTTTTGGGTAATTTCATGTTATCCAGCCCCTGGCAAAAAAAATTCTTTTCTGGAAATTGTTAACAGGGAAATTGATAATTTTTATGTCAAAACTTTCTTTGAATTAAAATTGATGGGCTAGAAGGTGCTTGCTCTCTCTTTTTGCGCTCCTAAACAAATTTTATGTTTAAAACTTTTTTATCCATGGCTATAAAAAAAGCATCAAATAGTGTCGAAGCAAAGGTACCATACCTTTGTGCTGAAATTCTGAACGATAATCGGCCTTTTTCTACAGCCATAGATATCTTAGAAAAAGTTAGACCAATACCAATCAATAGCTAATAAGCTACAATGATAACCAGAAAACTTTAGAATAGAAAGACAACATTACATGCAACACTAAAGAGTATTTGATGTTGTTACAAAGCAAATAGCATTACTTGTAAATCATTAAATTACTTAGTATGTGAAATAGGTCTGTCAAGACTGCAAATTTGCTGTGCCTCATTTTCATTGGCCTTTTTAAAGTCATAAATTTAGGCTAAAGGTCGACTTCCTTTTTCTGGTTATCATTGTATTTATTTTATTCTGAATACCCAAGTAAGTGAACGATCCCTTTAATTTGCATATTTGTAGATGGCAGATGGTTCTTTGATTGCAGGGATAGGTGGAGTAATTGCTTTATATTTAGGACTTTCTGTCACCATGTTTTTTGAGGTAATTATGCCTTTTTATCAAACTTTTTGTTAGAAATGGAAATCTTTGCAAACACCTAAACGATATGAGGTACTTTCCCAAAGGCATTTTCCGAAGTGGTATCTTTCCAAGGGTATTTTCCCGAGAGGCAACTTTCCTTATCTGCAATTTACCAAACTTCCCAAGTCTGTCCTAGCCGCAAACGCCCGGCCTCCTATCTCATCCTTGCCACTTATGGGAAACACCTAGAAAACTCTGTAAAAAAGGGGTTTTTAAATGATCATTAAGATAACATTTCTGACAGTTTAACTTCAATGACAACTGCGATTAAAGTTGATTCGGGGGGTTACCTAATCCCCAAAATCTCAAGATAATGTCTTTTTTTATTTATTTGTTTAAATTTTACATTTTTTGCATTTTTTGTTGTTGATAAATTTTGATATTTCAGGTTTTGGAATTGATTGGAAATGTAATTTTTTCTATTTTCTGCATGGGATTGAGAAGAAGTGGAAAAAGCAGGAAGAACCCGTTTTAACTATTCCATAGAGTAGAAATTCTTTAAATTCTGTTACTATGCGGATTATGTACCAAACCTGACAAAAGAAAACTTTTTTTTTCATTCTAAATTGTTAATTACAAATATTAGAAGAGCTCTTTTCTCACTATATATTTACATTGTAAAATCTGCTGGGAAGTTACAATTTGAATTTATAGCAAAAACTTTTAAAACGATCAGACTTATTATCAGACCTGAATTTAATCAATAATTTCAGAAAATTACTTTTTTCTCAAAGTTTATTTTGGTGTGCACTGTTTAAGTAAAAATATGTTTTATCAATTACGGACTACTATTTAATACAAATCCTCTGAATACAAATGACAATATTGTCAGTACAATGTCAGTACAAAATTCATTTTATTATTTTAAATGGAAAGCTTTAAGAATATAAATAAATTCAAATTATGTGTTTTATTGTCTTAGAGAAAAATTCCCCATTATATATAAACTATTGTTCTGTTTCCTATGCATATTTAGTCTTTTGTACTGTGTCTGTTTTCTTTGTATAATTTAGTATAGGCTACTGTATCCTATGTATATACAGTATATCCTAATGTATCCTATGAATACTTAATCTTCTACTGTGTCTGTATCCTTTGTATATATAGTATATCCTACTGTATCCTATGTATATTTAGTCGTTTATACTGTGTCTGTTTCCTTTGTAAACATAGTATATCCTACTGTATTTTATGTATATTTAGTCTTTTATACTGTGTCTGTTTCCTTTGAATATAGAGTATGTCCTACTGTATCCTATGTATATTTAAACTTTTATACTAATATACTGTTATTAATAGGAATTAGTAATTTACATGGTAGAGTGTGTCTGGAATGATTAAAGAGTGGTTTGATCTCAGAGGACGGTGATCGGGTCAATTTAAAACATGTAGTTCACTGCGATTTAATGGTCTCACGCTCTCAAGCAAAAATCGTTGAGAATTTTGCCAATTACTTCTAAAAAACCAAATCTAACAAGAAGTGCTTTACAGTGCTAAAATGTACATGTAAAGGGCTACAGAAAAGCATAAGTGAGTTAGAGCGGAAAAATCTAAGCTTAGGGCGTTGTGACACTTCAAAGTCAACCCAGTCTTAAAAATTGATGAGACTGTTTATAAGGAGGCTGAATCTATGTGAGTTGTTACTTCTGAAATAAAAACCCTGTTTGTTTAAGTGGAAATTGCTACGAATTGCAGAATTTTTCATGAATTGTATCTTTTAAGTATTTCAAAAGTTTAACGTTTAGTGTTCAAAATGGATGATATTGTTGACTCTGTCTGTAACAGAGGTGGGCGTAAGTACACTCTTTTTTTTGCCTGGCCTGATGCAAAGGAGAAGACCTGAAGACGACATTACACTTTGATACAGTGGGGTACGGTTTATGTTCAACAACCCTCTGAATATTTAGTCTATTCTATTGTATCCTCATATCCTCTGTATATTCAGTTTATATTCCTATCTGTAAAATGTTTAGTCTACTCTATACCGTCTTTAAAATTTTTAGTCAAAGCTGTACCCTCTCTAATATGTGTAGTCTACTCTGTACCGTCTGTAAAATGTCTTGTCTACTTTATACCGTCTGTAATTTGTTCGGTCTAACCTGTACCGTCTGTAAAATGTTCAGTCTAACCTGTACCGTCTGTAAAATGTTTTGTCTACTTTGTACCGTCTGTAATATGTTTCGTATATTCTGTACCGTCTGTAAACTGTTCGGTCTAAGCTGTATCGTCTGTAAGAGTTTATTCTACTCTGTACCGTCTGTAATATGTTTCGTCTATTCTGTACCATCTGTAAATTTTTTTGTCTATTCTGTACCGTCAGTAAACTGTTCGATTTAAGCTGTATAAACTGTAAGTGTTTAGTCTTCTCTGTACTGTCTGTAATATGTTTAGTCTATTCTGTACCGTCTGTAATTGTTTAGTCTACTCTGTACCGTCTGTAATTGTTTCGTCTACTCTGTACCGTCTGTAATTGTTTAGTCTACTCTGTACCGTCTGTAAATGTTTAGTCTACTTTGAACCGTCTGTAATTGTTTAGTCTGCTCTGTACCGTCTGTAATTGTTTAGTCTACTCTGTACCGTCTGTAAAATGTTGAGTCTAACCTGTACCGTCTGTAAAATGTTGAGTATAACCTGTACCGTCTGTAAATGTTTAGTCTGCTCTGTACCGTCTGTAAAATGTTCAGTCTAATCTGTACCGTCTGTAAAATGTTTTGTCTGCTCTGTACCGTCGGAAAGAAAGTTGACCGCTTTCTAGGAAAAGAGAAAGCAGTTGTTTCATTTGCTTAGTGAATTTCAAAAGAAATAGTTGTTGACGCTTCTCAGTGAAAAAAAGACAGAATTTAGAAATACATAAATGTCTGATTTCTTCCTTGATGTTAGTGAGGGGAAAGTTAGAGCGGTAAAAAGGTAAAAAAAATTGAAAGTGATGAAATTAGTTGAAAGAAATTGCATTTTTTTGATTTTTTTTATGTTTAACTTTCAGATTAAAGAAACAGCTTTTTACCGTCTATAAGTAAGATTTTAATTCAACAAAATTATATTATGTCTTTTCAGATTAGTTAACGTGAAACCCTTAATGAAGAATACATCGGAAGAATTTATCAAATGTCGTCTTACAATTTTTCAATGAGTTTTATACTATATTACGTAAATTTCAGTATTTGCGAAAATAAATAAATAGCCATGAATATGCGGGAACAGTTTTAAAGAGTTCCTTATAATCATTTAGTTAAAAAACTAAATATCTGCAGTATTCCATTATCAGAAAGTGAAGAATACGACATTTGATGAATTCTTTCGATGTATTCGTTATTAAGGTTTTTCACTGAGATTACAATGAGAACAATAAAACTCTGAACTAGGAAGACGACATTTAAACTCAGATTATGGAGCTTTAAAAAGTCCATTGAACATAAAAAATGTGCAGTAATAACAGACCCATTTAATTTAATACGTGTTTAATATGTTACAGTACAATTTATTGCTTTGTTACAACATGTCGTCTTCCTATTCCACAGTTTTCTGGTTCTCACTGTAAAACTAACTCTCCGAATCCCAGTACATTGTACGATATGTACATATTGTTTAGAAAATAAAAAAAACTTTTATAAGCTTTCTTGTAAAGAAATTGAGTATTAGCCTTAAACTGAAATTTTCTAATCCATTTATCTAGCTGATAAATTTTAATTTAACTGATATATGTTAATCTAACTGATAGATGTTAATCGTTAATATTTAAAATTAGCATAATTTAGTTTAAAATATCTAAGGTCTACGACATTGAATTACAAAGATATGGGGATTAGACAATCAGCGTTTGTATGGCAAAGACTAATGGATTTTTACTAATTCTTGTATTATTGCCTTAATACGTTTGGGACTAAAAACTTGAATTTTAAACTACAAACAAACAAGAGAATAATAAAGCTTCCGAAAAAATGTCGCATTTGCATGCATAAAGAGATATTTAAGTGATAAAAAGCTCTTCGCTCATTTATATATATTTATTTGTATATATGAAAGCTAAAGCTGAACAAACGGCTGGACAAAATTGGCTGATTTTTTTTGGAAGGAACCTATGGGTAACATTGGCTAAAAAAATTAGAAACTTTTCATAAAAAATCAATTTTTTTATTTCACGGGCATCTCCAGGATGAAATAATTATGCAGCTAATTTTCTTTTACAAATCTATTTCATTATTTAGTTGGCTCGAAAATGGGAGTGAGGTGAACTGTCTGGATAAAAATGGGAACTCCGCTCTTCACCTGGCAACAGAGAAGGGGTTCAGGTTATGCCCTTTAAGATATAGCACTTTAAAGATTAATATCTAGATATTTCGGAACGGGTACAAAAAGTCGATTATCAAAACGTTGATTATCTAAACGTAGAATAATACAACGTCGGTGATACAAAACGTCGACTGCCAAAAAACTGTCTTAACCTAATCTAACCCAACAATCAACCATGTAACATTTTGTAACTATCGACATTTTGTTGTAGTCGACGTTTTGTAACAGTAACGTTTTATAGCAGTCGACGTTTTGCAGTTTTCGACGATTTGTTATTCGATGTTTCGTTATTCGTCTTTTGGGTAGTCGACGTTTTGATAATCGACATTTTGTACCGACTCCGATATATCATGGTCTAGGGGTGTATGTAAGGCTCTCCTAAATATAATATCTAGATATTTCATGATCCAGGGGTGTATGTAAGGTGCTCCTAGATGCTGGAGCAAGGGTCAACATGAAAAGTTTAAACGACGGAAGAACGGCAGTTCATTACGCGGCCATAGAAGGTATTTCATGAGGGCAATTCAAAATAAAGAATTTTTGTTAAAAATTTATGAATTATTTAATTTGAAGAACCAACTCATTTTTAAAGTTAATTGAGAAGGATGAAAATTCAACTAAAGGCAAACAAATTATAAGATAAATATCAACAAAGTTTACCCCAAGTCAACATGTTTATTTTAATGTTTAAAGCTTCATATTCTAACTTATTCCATAAATAGGAACAATCTTATTAGTTTTATATTATTATTATATTGTATCTATAAAGCAATTTCAGTGTTTAATTTTCATAAGTTTTACCTAGATATGGTTATGTAGCTAGAAATCCACAGCCAATTTTTCAAAGAGGAAATCATTGATTTCTCATTCAATCATTAACAGTACCGTTGTCAATCAAACATTCTATCTATAAATATAAAGGGTCACTTAAGATTACGCGTACAGTCCCTTTAAGAAATATTTCCTATTTTATTTAAGGACAAGGATGGAAATACAGCAGAGGAGTATGCGGATAGATTTCATAATTTTGAAGTTCTAAACGTAATAGAGGTAAATATAATTAGTTTAAACAAAAATTTAAATTTTCTAATTTTTGGACTTTCTTATGATAAAGTAAATTTTTCACGATTAAGTAATTTTCTCATGATTAAGTAAATTTCTCATGATTAAGTAAATTTCTCATGATTAAGTAAATTTCTCATGATTAAGTAAATTTCTCATGATTAAGTAAATTTTTCATGATAAAGTAATTTTCTCATGATTAAGCAAATTTCACTTTAAATTGAAATCATAACTCATCTTTTTAAAAGGAGCTCATTAGAGAAACAAAAAGCTTTAATTTTCAAATATGTTGCACGGGCGTAAAATCAAAACTGAAGGAAGGAGTTAAGAGGACACAAAGTCGTAACAGTAAATTCGCATTAAACTTGGAAGTTTCTGGTGACTAAATATGTTTGTTCAAGAGTTTCTTGTGACTAAATATGTTTTTTTTCAAGAGTTTCTGGTGACTAAATATGTTTGTACAAGAGTTTGTGGCGACTAAATCTGTTTGTTTATCAGTTGCTGATGACTAAATCTGTTTGTTTAGGAGTTTCTGGTGACTAAATCTGTTTATTTAGGAGTTTCTGCATTGACTAAATCTGTTTGTTTAGGAGTTTCTGCAGTGACTAAATCTGTTTGTTTAGGAGTTTCTGGTGACTAAATCTGTTCATTTAGGAGTTTCTGGTGACTAAATCTGTTTGTTTAGGAGTTTCTGGTGACTAAATCTGTTCATTTAGGAGTTTCTGGTGACTAAATCTGTTTGTTTGGGAGTTTCTGGTGACTAAATCTGTTTGTTTGGGAGTTTCTGGTGACTAAATCTGTTCGTTTAGGGGTTTCTGGTGACTAAATCTATTTGTTTAGGAGTTTCTGGTAACTAAATCTGTTTGTTTAGGAGTTTCTGGTGACTACATCTGTTCGTTTAGGGGTTTCTGGTGTTTACATCTGTCTGTTTAGGAGTTTCTGGTGAATAAATCTGTCTATTTAGGAGTTTCCGGTGACGAACTCTGTTTGTTTAGGAGTTTCTGGTGACTAAAGCTGTTTGTTTAGGAGTTTCTGGTGACTAAATCTGTTTGTTTAGGAGTTTCTGGTGAATAAATCTGTTCGTTTAGGGTTTCTGGTGACTAAATCTGTTTGTTTAGGAGTTTCTGGTGACTAAACCAGTTCGTTTAGGGGTTCTGGTGACTAAACCAGTTCGTTTAGGGGTTCTGGTGACTACATTTGTTTGTTTATGAGTTTCTGGTGACTAAATCTGTTTGTTTAGGAGTTTCTGGTGACTAAGTCTGTTCGTTTAGGGGTGTCTGGTGACTAAAACTGTCTGTTTGGAGTTTCTGGTGACTAAATCTGTCCATTTAGGAGTTTCCGGTGACGAAATCTGTTTGTTTAGGAGTTTCTGCTGACTAAATCTGAATCTACAAGTACTCTATCACAGGCAAACTCATATAAAATGTATATGTAGAGTAAAGTGCAATTCCAAAAAAGTACATTTTATCATGATTCATGGTAAAACTAAGGTTTACTTCATTTAATGACCTACAGATCCGAATTGGACAGCAAACGAATTGTCACATTAAAATACAATGTTGCGCAAAATGTTTATATATCTAAAAGTTTCATAAAATATATTTTTTTCATATTTTGTCTTTCTCTGACTGATAAGGGCGATTAAAAAAGAGATTAACTTCTCTAAAATTATCCTAGTTTTTATTTTATAAGCTAAGATTTCTCTTTTAAACCTTTGGTCTCAAGGCTTAGAAAAAAATCCTTTTGCCTTCACAAACACATCTAGATAAACCGAATAAACCAAACAAAATTGGGGTTAAAACGTTAATGTTCTATCGCAGGTAAACTCATGTAAAACTTATATGTACTATAATGAAAAAGCAGAATTTGAACTCCTTTTAGTTATTGGTCACTGGTCAGACGTATTGGTCACTGGTCAGACGTTAGGATTTTAAAATTAAAAAAATTGAAACATCGAATATTTTGAGATGGGGTAATAGGATAACTATTTTTAGGATTAAACCAACATTTTTTTAATTCATCATCTTTTACTTTGCTTAAAAACTTATTTTTGATAAGTATACATGTATTTATTATTTGTTGCTGACAGTCAGAGTCAGAAAGAACGCTCACCGAAGAATCAGGTTATATACGATTAAGTATTTTTCATGTTTAGAATATAGTTTAATATAGGGTTCACTATGTACTTAATTATTACCAAAGAATGATACTACAGAGACGACTGTACGGAATTAATACTTTCTGTTTCCCTTATATTCATGGTAATTCCTACTTATGTAATTTTTTCAAATCATTAAATTAGTTATTGAAATTGTATATTAATGGCTGAACACTTAATTTAACCTTGAAATCGTAATAGTAGTCACGTCACGTCGTCTTTACAGTCTCATCTTTTGTGGCTAAACTTGTACATTTATTTGTATTTTAGATGATGATGAGAGTTCTATGATGAACTGGGTTATTTATGGAAATATGACAAAACAGCCAGATAGAGCTAAACGATCAAGGTATAATCTATGAAAATATATCAAAACAGCCAGATAGAACTAAACGATCAAGGTATAATCTGTGGAAATAGGACAAAACAAACTGATAGAACTAAACGGTCAAAGTTTGATCTGTAGAAATAGGACAAAACAGCCAGATAGAGCTAAACGGTCAAGGTATAATCTATGAAAGTATGACAAAACAACCACATAGAGCTGAACGGTCAAGGTATAATCTGTGAAAATATGACAAAACAACCAGATAGAACTAAACGGTCAAGGTTTGATCTGTAAAAATAGGACAAAACAGCCAGATAGAGCTAAACGGTCAAGGTATAATCTATGAAAATATGACAAAACAATCACATAGAACGGTCAAGGTATAATCTGTGGAAATATGACAAAACAACCAGATAGAACTAAACGGTCAAGGTATAATCAATGGAAATAGGACAAAACAAACTGATAAAGCTAAACGGTCAATGTTTGATCTGTGGAAATAGGACAAAACAACCAGATAGAACTAAACGGTCAAGGAATAATCTATGAAAGTATGACAAAACAACCAGATAGAGCTAAACGGTCAAGGAATAATCTATGAAAGTATGACAAAACAACCAGATAGAGCTAAACGGTCAATATGAAAGTATGACAAAACAACCAGATAGAGCTAAACGGTCAAGGTATAATCTTTGAAAACATATCAAAACAACCAGATAGAGCTAAACGATCAAGGTATAATCTTTGGAATTACGAAAAAAGAATCAAGGTAAAATTTGAGATCGGTGACGATCTTTTAGACGCCTCTTAATGTTTACGTTATTTGTATAATCTGTACTTGTAGTTAAGAGATTATGATATTCGTGAAATCCTAGAAAATTTTCATATGATGTATTTTTAAACTTTAAAGTAATTTTGATTTAATTCAGGAGTGCCCTGCAGAAGGTAGAAGAGCGTCCAAAATATGATGAAATATCCACAAACCTGGATTCAAGGTTTCAATAAAATCATTACACTAACATGTATAGAGACAGTAAAATGGAGTGGAATCAGCTTATTTATTACAATTAGTCATACATTTTTTTTGTTGGGGGGGGGGGGGTTTCTCACTTTTAGTCAGCTAAAGTGTGACAGTTAAAATGTCATCATCTAACTTTAGAACAATTTTATGATTTGTTTAAACTGTTCACAAACCATATATCTTCGTTGAGAGTATGTCAATTGTCAAACTTTAATTTTGTAGGAGGAAGAAAAAGTCCGAAACCCCAAAACAAGAATCTCCAAAATCCCGCCAGCCAGACGCTGAGAGTTCAGGGACGTAAATTAATGAATTTAAGAGAAGTCACTAAACTACCTGCCACTGGTTCAAATCCTGAATCACGGATTGAAAGTGAAAGATTCATTAGAATTTCAATCTATAATTCAGGATTTGAACCGACTATAGTAGTTCAGCGACCTCTGAAATTGATTAAATTTGGTCCCAGAGCGGAGAAAAGTTCTTGATTCCTGGACAATGTCTTCTCAAACAATCCCTGATGATCTGCTATCCTTAGATCTGGACAGGTAATTACTCTTAAAGGGACTGTTGATGTGATTTCAAGTGAACGATTCACAACGGTACCCTTTAAATTTAGCGTCATCATCGATGGCAATCTTTCCAAATCTTTACCATAAATCCTAAAAACTGGAGTGTACACTAGGACACAATGTACAATAAAACACAGTGTGAACTGGAGTGTACACTAGGGCACAGTGCAAACTGGAGTATACACTATAGTACAGTGTGAACTGGAGTGTACACTAGACCACAGTGTGAACTGGAGTGTACACTAGAGTACAGTGTGAACTGGAGGGTACCCTAGAGCACTGTGTGAACTGGAGTGTATACTAGAGCACAGTGTGAACTGGAGTGTACACTAGGGCACAGTGTGAACTGATGTGTACACTAGAGCACAGTGTGAACTGGAGTGTACACTAGAGCACTGTGTGAACTGGAGTGTACCCTAGAGCACAGTGTAAACTGGAGTGTACACTAGAGTACAGTGTGAACTGGAGTGTACACTAGAGTATAGTGTGAACTGGAGTGTACACTAGAGCACAGTGTGAACTGATGTGTACACTAGAGCACAGTGTGAACTGGAGTGTACACTAGGGCACAGTGTGAACTGGAGTGTACACTAGAGTACAGTGTGAACTGGAGTGTACTCTAGAGCACTGTGTGAACTGGAGTGTACACTATGGCACAGTGTGAACTCAATGCACCTGAAAATCCTAAAAGCTCTTTGTCCATCGCGGTTTTAAAAATTCGAATACAAATATCTATTTTCTTTGACTCTTGAAAAAAATAATGATAAAAAAACAGCATGTGTAGATAAGATTCATAGTTTTCAAGTTTCTGCAAAATAATAAGGGTAACTCCTCATTCTCTTGCTCAGTCAAAGGTTTAAGGTATGCCGTTGTGAATCGGATATGCCACTCAGCTAGTTTAATTACATTTACAGTCCCTTTAATAGTTGTCCAAAAAAAACAATAAGAAAACACTTTAAATATTTTAAAGAGATGGTGAGACAGAATCTGAGAAAGTTGTTCTTCTGAAACGGCTTCAGGTAAATAGGGTTTCTTATTAGTTTCCGCACTTTTCCGAAATTTTCCGGCCTATTCCGAATTTTACTCTCTGATGCCCGAAAGCGAACTTTATCTCAAGGATTTCTGATTTATAAATAGAAAAAACAAAAAAATAATTCATAATCTTACAATAGAATTTATTTCACATTTCACAATTTATTTCTATTTTTTACACAGTTTAACCCAGAACATAGGAGCCATAGAAAAAATTTGTAAAATGTCGTCTTGGCAATTTTTCAATGGGGTTTTTACTTTTATACCAATATCTCAGACATTGCAGGAATAAAGATTTAGCGATATGCGATAACCGTTTTTAAGAGCTCCATATAACGATTTAAGTAAAAAAACTTGATATCTGCAGCATTCCATTATCAGTAGGTTTAGAAAAAGACATTTTATAAATTCTTTGGATGGCCCCGAGTCCGAAGTTCTGGATAAAACTGTATTATAATTTACAAAACATTTTTTTGTCTGAATTATAAAATTTCTATTTTTTGTTTCCATTGTAGAGTCTTGTAGGGGACGAGAATGAGGAGAAAATAAAACTTTTAAAAATGAAAAAAGAAAGTTTAAAGATTAAGGAAGATTGTTTGGAGGGGAACATTGGATTAAAAAAAGAAGAGCATCTGAAGATGTTAGACAGTCTCTCCTTACAGTTTAGGTAAATGTCGTCTTTGAATCACATTGAAGACGACAACTTGTAATTTCCAATGTTTTCGGGTGTAATAAATCATCATTTTAAGGAAAGAGACGGAAGAATTGACTAGAGAACAACAAAAGGTAAATTTTAAAATAAAACATTTCTTACACAAAAATAAATAGATAAAAATTTAAAGAAAAGGCTAAAAATGCTTGACAGCAAAAAAAGGAATAATTTAACGTAAAGGTTGTCAAAAATCAGCGCAAGCAAAAAAAGTTTGAAAATTCCCATTTTGTTTAAAACTGATTTATTTTTTAACCACCATAAAACCATTTTATATCATTATATACATTCTTATTCCATAACCAATGGTATGAGCTTTATGAGATTATTCTCGACAAATAATAAGAAACCACCAACTAATTTTAAATGTACAAAAATAAGTGCTTCAGATTTGGTGAAAAATATTCAACAATATGGGTTTTGGAGAGTTAACTTAACCATTTTATTTGTATTTTTTTTGAACATTTACTTAATATAGGACGGTATAACTTGGAATATACAGGGTGTCCCACGAAACATAACAGTTGGTGAAAAGTTTTAAATGTCTTCTTCCATAATTTTTTAAGTTGCTTGATACCAAAGAGAATAATAAAACATATTACATGGCAGTCATAAAACAATAAATTTCTAAGTAAAACATATTTGAGTAAAAGAATTTTTAACGAAATAAAATGCGAAAAGTGTTTGATATATAATAAAGAATATGGAAGAAGACATTCAAAACTATTTACAAACTGTCATGTTTCGTGGGACACTCTGTATCTAAGAATATATATTTAGTAATACGTCTTGAAATATATCTAGGAATATATCTTGGAATATCTAGAAATATATCTAGGAATATACAGTAAAACCATACATCGGAAGAATTTATCAAATGTCATCTTGACAATTTTTCAATGAGTTTTATACTATATTACGCAAATTTCAGTATTTACGAATAAATAAATATAGCCATGAATATGCGGGAACAGTTTTATAGAGTTCCATATAATTATTTAATTAAAAAAACTAAATATCTGCAACATTCCATTATCAGAAAGTGAAGAATACGACATTTGATGAATTCTTTCAATGTATTCGTTATTAAGGGTTTCACTGTATCTAGTAATATACAGTAAAACCCTTAATAAAGAATACATCGGAAGAATTTATCAAATGTCGTCTTGACAATTTTTCAATCTGTTTTATACTATATTACATAAATTTCAGTATTTGTGAAAATAAATAAATAGCCATGAATATATGCGGGAACGCTTTTAAAGAGTTCCATATAATCATTTTATTAAAAAACTAAATATCTGCAACATTCCATTATCAGAAAGTGAAGAATACGACATTTGATGAACTCTTTCGATGTATTCGTTATTAAGGGTTTCACTGTATCTAGAAAAATATCTAGAAATATATCTATAAATATATCTCTGGATATCTCTAGGTATATATATCTAGGAATATATCTCTAGGAAGAGGATAGAATACAGGAGAAGATAGATAAACTAGAACTGGATCTAAGAAGTCTTGTTTCGTCTTCTCTTTTAGTTTCTTCCCTACTCAGCCCTAACCCACCAGGTTAATACAGTGTTAACTTTAAAGAATTAGACTTCATAGACGGCTGTACGGAATTTTTTCGTCATTTTTTCTTTCATTAATGAATTCTCTGCAACTTTGCTTTCTTTCCCAAATCCATAGATTAATAACAACACAGATAGAACATTAGATGTCTTCTTTTCACGATTTAGGGGTTTTCCGTTCACAATAACCCTGAAAATCTCTAAGAAGTTCCGCGCAGGCAGAGTTCAATTACAAGACAGAGTGCATATGCGATACCTGTGCGGACCTCTTTTGGGCTTCTTGCCTTTTGGTTATTGTGAACGATAAATCCCTAAATCTTGAAAATACGACATTTACTGCTCTATTTGTGTTGTTATTAATCTATGTTAAAATCATTTATCATACAAAAAGACCCTTTTTCCAAGCAATAGATTTGGTTTTTTACCTGCATGCTCATCATTAGAATTGAATTTTAGGCTGTCATCAAAGTCTGATTGAGGGTACAATTCTATATCTATATTCTATAGTCGCAGCAATCGTAATACCCAAATAACTTCTATAACAATAGATGGCAATGTTGAATTTGTACGCTCTCAATACAGCTTGTGCAACTCGTACATCTGTATTCTTACGTTAAAAGTGTCAACTTAGTTGTTGTGGCCGACAAAATTAGTAATAATAATGATAATTTTGGGATCAGTAAGTGCAATTTGGTGTTCTTTATCTTCTGTTTTAACGCTTTTTTAATTAATTTTGGAAAACATGTAAACTAATATTTGAAAATTTCGTTTTCCTTGTTAAATGTGACACTTTTGACGTCGTATGTAATTGGTCCATTTCTCTGTTGCCACAAATTGTAATTGATGATTTTTTTGGTAAAACCGAATCATAACTATTCTAAATTTGTATAAACTTAACATTCTGATTCAACCGGTTGTTATTCAATGTGTAATATATTAAAGAAAGTTTCATGTTATTATTTCTAACAATAGTACAATTTTTTCCCAAAATTAAACGTGCTTTTTTTAAAAGCCTCAACGTTTATGGGTTCAATATATAAAAATTTATCAAAACATAACAAAATAGCAATTAATCATTCTTGATAGTTTAAAAAATGCATTAGATTAAAGTTATTAAATTAGAAACAGTCATTTTAAATAAATTTTTTAAAGGTTTGATTAAACAGGATAAAGCAGGATATTTCCCTGTTTTGGATCTTGAAGATGAAATATCTTGCTGTTCTTGTCAAGAACTACTCACTCCTCCGCATAAGATATACCAGGTTGTAAGACTATAAGAGGGCAAAGTTGTTTGATAAACTGTAGGTCGGTTGATAAATAGATAGGTAGAGTTGATTGACTGTAAGTCGGTTGATAAATACATAGGTAGACTTGATTGATTAACTGTAAGTTGGTTGATAAATACACAGGTAGACTTGATTGATTAACTGTAAGTTGGTTGATAAATACATAGGTAGGCTTGATTGATTATATGTAAGTTGGTTGATAAATACATAGGTAGACTTGATTGATTAACTGTAAGTTGGTTGATAAATCATTATTAAATTGCAAAGACTTTGTTATATTGTATTTCCAGTGCACTAATGGAGATTTGATCTGCTCGTCATGTCGTGGCAACCCTGTATGTTCTTCCTGTGGTGTTTATCTTACACAAACTATCAGGAATTTGCGAACTTTTCCTTTAAATATTTTTAATTTAAAGATTAGGTGCATTATGCATGTTGACATTATTATGGTTTACAAAGGGAGAATAAACACTGTTTAGGTGCATAATGCAAATGAAGTATAAACGAGCAGGGATGCAGGGACTGAATTTAATGAATTGGATAGAGGTCGATGAACTATCTGCTGCTAGTTCAACTACTTCTCAAGTGCCTACTGGTTCAAATTCTGAATCACTGATTCAATCATTGATTGACTTCCTCTATTTAGTTCAACAACTTTTCACAATTCATTGAATCCAGTCCCAGATTTTAACAAATAGTTAGACATAGTTGCATGAACCGTTCCTACGTAGTGCAACGACTTCTCGCAATTCATTAAATTCGGCCCCTAGTCTCAGAAGTAGTATTCAAAAGTTTAACAATCTTATGCCATATGCTCATTTTCAGAACTACATACTAGGACATTGAATCAAGTAAAAGTAATGATAATTAAAAAATCGCAAATTCAGGAACAAGGCGTTGGAGAAAATAGCAAAAAAGCATTTTTGAGCACATCTGTAATAATATTTTTTTCGTAGATAAATAAAATAAAATTCATCAATTATTTGTAAATTTCTAAGATGCTGCAGTTAAAAATTAGTAATGTTAATAATGCATCCTTCCGTCTGTGTAGGGTTAATGATTAATTCTGAGAAATCTTTTATTGTTAATCTACAGTTAGATTCAATCTTTATTCAGTATCCTTCATTTGTAATCTTATTCTAGAGGAAATACTGAAATGAAGAGGTTATGTTGATCCTTAAAGGGAGTGTTCGCGAAAAATGAAAGGGGGTATTGCTGCTTACGGCAAAAAATAATCGCGCTTGATAGCTACTAATCTTACTAATCTGTAGCGTCTATAAGGAGTAAATTGTTAAAAACGATTTATACCGAAGAACGTAGCGTCCATACAAATTAAGAAAGTTGAAATATACGACTTGGATCGCAAAAAAATCCATTTCATTCCAAACAAATTATTCAGATACAGTGAAACCCTTTATAACGAATACATCGGAAGAATTTATCAAATGTCGTCTTGACAATTTTTCAATGAGTTTTATACTATATTACGTAAATTTCAGTATAATTGCGAAAATAAATAAATAGCCATGATGTATTCATTATTAAGGGTTTCACTGTATTATAACCAATAATCATTGATATTTTTTCGACGAATACATATAGTTGATATTTCATAATATTTTTTATTTTTATGATCTGATAGTTATTTTTGAAAACATTTATTCCTGCTTCGAGTATTTTTTGATAATGAAGACGACATTTACATATTTTCCAGGAATGTTCAAAATTCCAGCGCCAGCGAAATATTATTTGAAAAAAAAAAAAAATTCAAAAATATTATGAATTATTAACTATTTATGAATGCGTCGAAAAATAATTGATGACTATTGATTGTCATATCTGAATGATTTGTTTGGAATTAAATTGATTATTTTACGATCCGAGTTGAATGTTGCAACTTTCTGAAATTGTACGAACGCTATGTTCTTTAGCATGAGTCCTTTTTAACAATTTTTTTCTTATAGACGCAACAGATAGAAAATAAGATTAGTAGCGATCAAAAGCGCTTATTTTTCGCCGTAAGCCTATACCCCATTTTCACGAACACTCCCTTTAAACTAAAAGTACCTGTGTACATAAATTTCACTAGAAGGTAATGTACTGTTTTGTTTATTTAGTCTGTATTTGTACTGTACAATCAGCTTGCTCTGCTGCTTAAAATCGAACCCAGTACTTGAAATGAACCAGAGTTTATCAAGATCAAACTGACGGGAATATGTGTATCCACCTCAAAAGTTTCCAGTTCTGATAAATACTTGTAATTTGAAGGGTTTCTTCTGATTCTCTTAATTAAAGATGGATATATAGATGGGAGTAAACTCTGGTAAGAAAGCATTGATTATTAGATAAGAGTGAGATTAATCATGCACCAGCTGACACCAGGATTGATGGATCATAGTATTTATTGTTCGGAGTATTTACACTTATATTTATTAACTAGCCGAAGGGGCCAGCGTTGCCCGTGGAAAAAAATTTAAAAACAACCCCAAACCCTTGAGTGTCCACAAAAAATTTCAGCCCAATCCATCCAGCCGTTTGGCCGGCTAGACGCAACATATATATAAACGTATGTCAATTGCAGTTTTATTATACAGAGATAAGGTTGGGTTTAAACCCTGTAAACGCTGCCCTGTATGTGAACAGATGGGAAAGAATTCTGTTGAATAGGTGATAGTCTCGGTTACTGGAGAAAAGATGAGGATTAAGGATAAGCTGACCTGCTCCTCCTCAAATATTATATACATGATTACATGTAGGAGAGGAGGCCGAGTTTGTCCTTCCCATCCTCAATATATTGTTGCTGTGTTTGTATTTTTTATTTTTATTTTTTGCTTATATCTGTTATATTATAGGACAAACTCCTGATGATGCCAAAGTTTTTGGCGAAATATATTGAGAAGAAAATGATATAATTCTAGTGCTAGAGAGTAGGGTTGGGATTTGTTTAAAAACGATCTAAAGTTTATTATACAGATAATACTATCTTAGCATACTGTGAGAGCCATACGAATAGGGAGACCACTTTCAGACTCAACTTTGAATAGTCCAATGAACATGAGACACAAAAATTGTGCAGTGTAAACAGACCTGTTTCACTAAATACGTAATTTAATAAGTTAATACTTATACTATATGTTTTACTCTTGCCTTAATGTCGTCTTCTATCCCAAAGTTTTCTTGTTCTCACTGTACGAGAGATAAAACCATTGGAAGTGTAAAATATTTAAAATTTTTATAATGTAAAGTGATAAATATCCTTTGAAAAATAAAAATCAAACTTTTGACAGTTGGTGAATAGTTTTAAATGTATTTTTCCATACACTGTATTAGATATTAAAGGATTTTTAAAAAATCTTTTACTCAAATTTATTTTACTTTTACATCAACTTACTGTAATGTGATTGCTATAAAATATTTTTATCATTCTCGTTCGTATCAAACAACTTAATAAATTATGGAAGAAGACATTATAAATTATTTCAAAATGTCATGTTTCGTGGGGCACCTTAATATATTTGTCAATGTCATAAATGTCAAATAAAACTTAATAATGTGAACAGTGTTACTAATATAAACGTTTGTAGCAAAAATAAATAAAGAAATAATAATAATGATTATAATAATAATAAAAATAATTATATAATCCTGGTATGATAGTTTTAATGACAATTATAAAAATATTGATAATTACAATAATCATAATATGTTATTTAAATGATAATAAGAATAATAAGAATAATAATAATAATGATAATCATATTATATTAGTTTACTTATAATAAAAATAATAATAATCATAATCAGAGCTTTGACCGACCATAAAGCAACCCTTAGTGACGAGAGGTCATGACCGTAAGATTATAAAGATAGATTCAATTAGAGGTTAAATTGATAAATGATTATATCCAGATTATAAATTTCATACAATCATATAATTATTTACCCCTATTTTATTTAGTATACCCGCTTCTGTATCATTATAAACCTATTATCAATTACTGGTACCATACCTCGTTTACAACAACAGTATGGTAATTATGTCTGTATATAGTTTTGTTGGGAACTAATGATAATCTGATTTTATTACATAATTTCCAGTAGTTTCTGACGCAAAATTAATGATAGTCTGATATTTTTAACATAATTTTGCAGTAGTTTCTGACGCAAAATTAATGATAATCTGATTTTTTATTACATAATTTTCCAGTAATTTCTGACGCTAAATTAATGATAATCTGAATTTTTATTACAAAATTTCCAGTAGTTTCTGACGCAAAATTAATGATAATCTGATTTTTTATCACATAATTTCCAGCAGTTTCTGACGCAAAATTAATGATAATCTGATTTTTTATTACAAAATTTCCAATAGTTTCTAGGAACTAGAAAGATATAGAGAAGGTCAAGTGTATTTCGAAATTACTGGGACGACTATCAGGCCTCGTAGCCCCTGTAGTTTTGATTTTATGCAGAAATATGTGAAAACTAAAGGAATTGAGTCGTTTCCACAAACTCTGATTTTCTAATCACAATATCTCTGCAACCAAATGGCGTAGACCATAAATATTTCAAACTCTGAATTCTGGTAGATCAATTTAAGTTCGAAATACCAAGTTGCACAGACATAGGGATTAGAAAATTGAAGGTTGTGGCAAAGACTCAACTTCTTTATCTGGTGACATATTAGAAAATTAAAACATTTTTCTTCTTCTTAACTGCTTTTCATCAAGAGTTTTTAGTGAAAACAGATTTCTATCTTTACTTTAGTTTGACGTTAAAGGGAGCGACCGGCTATGTAAGGTAGTTGAACTGAGTATGCAGTGTTGTGGAAAACTTCTTTCGGATTCATTTGAGACATATTAGGAGTTTGAGACAAAGTAGGAGTTTTGAACGTCGAATTTTCACTCAAACTCAGGATTTACAGATCTTTAAAAGTTAATATGTCTCAAATAAATCCAAAAGAAGTTTTCCACAACACTACCTTACATAGCTTGTCACTTCCTTTAAAGGCTATAAAAAATTTTTTAGAAAATATTATATATTTCCCATGAAACCCATGACATTTCTTATCACCTTGTTTATAAAAAGAGAAAGGAGTGTACGCAATATGATATATTTATATAGTATACGTAGTGGTGTAAATATATCGATCCCCCGGTTCATTTCCCCTCCCTAGCTATAGGCGTCAACCTTACATCTGCTCATTCATCTATCTATCTATCCATCTATCCGCGTACTATCTATCTATCTTTCTATCTTCCATAAACCTCCGTTTAGGTTCTGGGAGAGGGGTGCTTTCTATTGGTTGGTTCTTCGGTTTATACCACGCATCCCTTGGTCCGTTGGGGGCGCAAAAGAGAGGGGTTAGGGTAGGTTGATGGGGGGAGGGGGGGTTAGAGAAGGGAAATACAATAGTTATGTTGTGATACCAAGCTCAGACGGAACACAGTGTGAAATTTTAGAAAATACAGTGTTTTTATATAAATATTGTTAAATCAAGATATATAAGGTTGGTTTCTGTCGTTGTCTGAAAGAAGTAAATATTAGTTAAATCGTCTGATTATTGTCCGCTGAAACTAGAGGAAAAAGTTCTCTAAGCTACTTTTTAAATCCACCCGTTCCAAATGTTTTATTATTCCTTCAAACTTTGTTTGTGGCGGGAAAATATGTAATTCAGGACTCTTACCTATTTCATCGTTTAACAATTTTGCTCATATAATAACCAATTGAAATTGAGACCAAAAGATCTCGAAAAATTGCTTTACACATAGTGCATTATAATGAATAATAGGATAAATCAGCTTTTTTTTGTGCTTATTATCAATAATAATAGAAAAACATCATTTAAATCTATCTCTATTTGGAAATATAAATGCTTCACTTTTACTTTTTAAATGCCTTTGCTTTCGATCACCACTGTAAATGCATAATGAAAAACCCTTTTTTAGATTTATAACACCTTAAAACTTCTTTTAAGACGGGAAAATATTTAGACTGTGCAATTTTTTATGCGTTTCATTAGTGCATGAAAATAAATTTAATATTTAAACATTTTGAATTTTAAATACATTTTTTCTCTGCATCTAATTTTTGTTATTAAATGTATTTTTTCCACAATTTTTTGCTATAAATAATATGTTTGTTTATAATCTGTCATCTTTGCAACTTTACGATGTAGACCTTTGATATTTCAAACTATAAATTGTGACATGTCAAAAAGTTAAAGTATTAAATATGAAAAGTTTAAACCATTAGGCTACAAAGATATAGGGATTATGAAATGAGCTTGAAAGGATTGTTTAATTCCATAATTTTCATTAATATTTGCTAATTATTAATCTGCAGATTTATTGTAGTTTTATCATTATTTAATTATTTTTGGTTAATTACTATTTGTTTTAGGTTATAAAATTTCCATAAATATTTTTTTTATTGGCTTATTAGGGAAGACATGTTCATTACGATTTATAAATGACTATTTTAAAGGAAACTAATAGGCTGTTTTTTACAACAAAAAATTTTGTTTAAGTTAGTTTAGAAATAAAAAATATTTAAAATAAACATTCTCAAGCAAACTACAATATTGGTTTATTGTATTTAGATATTTTCTTCTTTGTGCCAGGCATTGTTACCCATCGCCATATAAACTAATTCACGGTCAAGCAGTGCAGTAAATACTTATTATAAATCAAAAGTTACTTATGCAAAAACCAATGTTTTTCTTGAACATTTATGGTAAGATTAAATGATGAAATAATAATGATAGATATTTTCTTCTTTGTGCCAGGCATTGTTACCCATCGCCATATAAACTAATTCACGGTCAAGCAGTGCAGTAAATACTTATTATAAAACAAAAGTTACTTATGCCAAAACCAATGTTTTTCTTGAACATTTATGGTAAGATTAAATGATGAAATAATAATGATACATTGCTATTCTTAGCAAAAGCTGCAGGGCGATANTACATATCGGCAATTCAAAACATTTCTGTTCTTTTCAATAGCTACTTGTTAATAGGAGTTATGTTTAAATACTTCTCAATAATAAACATAAAGATAAAAAATAAAAGAAAACATACGATTTCAATCTAACGTCCGTGCAGTTTGTTTATCTAGTTTCATGTGAATTGCTTATGACCTCAAAACCTTCATACCTGCTGATTGCCACGAAGCGTCCTATCTTACTAACTTTATCTATTTCAGATGTCGAGCGAGGTGGTTGAACCCTCTGCCGAGATTGTTCCCGCAAAAAGCGAGGATAAACTTGAAATAGAGAAGGAGGAGAAGGAGAAGATGGAACAGGAAGAGAAGGAAGAACAGGAGACGGCAGAGAAGGATAAGGAGGAGGAGAAGGAGGAGGGATCATCTAAAGATGCGGAAGGAAGTGAAGAAAAAGAAAAGACAAAGTTTAGTTTGTCAAAAGTTCAATTAAAAACTCCGATTAAAGTGATTGCTGATATTAGATCTAAATCTAAGGAACGGAAAAAGGTAATACTGCAGATTTAAAATTCAAAACCTTTTCTTGTAAAGAAAATTAAAAAACTTTATTTTTGTTGAAATAATAGGAAATAAGTTGGTTAAGAAAAAAGGAAAAATGGCAAAGAAAAGAAGGAAAAGGGGAAAGACAGGGAAAAGGGGAAAGACAAGAATTAAGGATCAAATGTAAACGGGAAGAAGGAGAAGGGAAATGGTTAAACGGATGAAACAGGTATGGAAAAGGAGGAGGGAAAATTTCAGAAAACGTGGGAACTTGAAAAGGGAAGAAAGGGAAAGGTGAAGAGAAGGAAGAGGGAGTGAAAGGAGATGAATGGGAAAGGGGGAAGGGGAATATTAAAGAAGGAGGGAGAGGGAAATGGGAAATTGGGGGATCAAAGGAAAAAAGTACAGGAGGGAGAGAGGAAGGAATGGAGCCGGAGGAAAGGAAAAAAGTAAGTGTTAAGAAGTGAGGAAGGGAAGGAAATAATGGCACTATAAAAAGTGGGGTTGCACCTGCTTTTCACAATCCGTTATAACCTGAACCCTACCAACCCTAACATGGATTAGATGTTTCAAATTCGGAAATAAGATCTTTTACTGATAGATTCAAAATACACATAGATTGTGCGATCAATATTATAGATCGATTTTCTCAAGGATTAATTTATTAATGTGAGTTCCGGAGGGGAAACATATATATTTTCTACCTTGGTCTCTCTCACCTTTACATTTAAATACGAACCATATGTTTAAAAGGACTATAATGTTAATTTCAAGTGATCCTCCTTGCAAAGATGACATTGCCCGATTTACATTGATACCCTTGAAACCTTTATCTGATCCAAAATGTGGAAGATACTGTCGTTTTTCTGACTCGAAAAAGTGTTTAACTGTACTAGTTTCTCCATTGGTTCTTATAAGCAAGAAATGCGCAAGTCACTTTTTCGGAAAATCCACCAATAAAATTAAAGAATTTAAAGAAACAAAAACATGGATATCTAATTCATGTAACAATGCCCAAACTCCAAAAGCCTCTCTAAGTATTTTATAACTCACACTTAAAGCTCTCTGAATCTATTTTTCTTTATTACATTTCATATTTGATCGGACAACATTTCAAGGGTACCGTTGTAAATCGGGTATTGCCATCTTTGCATGGAGGGTCACTTTAAAATTACATTTACAGTCCCGTTATTGCCATGGTACTAGGTGCCACATTTCCCGAAATTTATATTAGTTATTTTTTCATGAGTAGCATATAAAACCAATTTTAAAAATATTTAAAATCTAATCTCTAATATAAAATCTTTCCTTTGCTTAAATAAATATTTTCTTATTTAACCCCCTTTCATATAATTTTGATGTAATTATCTAACTATTTATAACACTATTATTTTGGTTCGCAGTGTTTTAAAAGTTTTTGGACAGAAATTTTCTTTTTATCGAGATAATAAGTTGTCCCGAGATGTAAAGAAAAGAAATTGAGCCTTTGCCACAAACTCTGATTTTATATTCCATATATATCTTCACAATCCAACGTCGTAAACCTTAGATATTTCAAACTATGAATTCTGTTGGATCAAAGAATCTAAATTTGAAATACCAAAGGTCTACAATATTAGGTTGCACAGATATTGGGATTAGAAAATTAGAGCTTGTGTCAAAGAATCAATTTCTTTAAGTCCATAAGATAATTGTCCCTTTGCCCCCCCCCCTCTTCCCCAGATTGTTTTTGGTAAACCAGACCAGGGTTAATTATATTTGCTCATTCTTAGGTTTAAAGGGTGACGTATAAAATTAAGTTAACAGTCCCTTTAGTTTGTTTTATTTCCTCCGACTACTCTCATAAATTTGATTTTTATACTCTCTCGAGATTAAAGTTTTTCATTAACCCCCTGCAAGGGCAATGATTAAATGAAAAATTGTTTTCGATTTTTTGATTTCCAAAACAGAAAATCTTATAAATATCAATAAATTTACGAAAAAACATAAAATTATCTTGTTTTGAATGAACTCTGACTTTTATCGCTCGGGCTGTACTGTAACTCTTTACAGAAAAGACACTTATTCTTAGAGTGTAGTAAAATTAAGATTGATTGGAATAAAGGAATTGAAACTTTGCAACAAACTCAAATTTTGTAATCACTATATCTTTGCATTCTGATGGTGTACACATTTAATATTTCTAACTTAGATTATTTGATCATACAAAATTCATATTTAAAAATATCTAAGGTCTACGACGACTTTGATATACATAGGGATTAGAATATTAGAATATCAGAATTATTATTCTAAAACAAATATAAAATTAGTAAATAAATTTTTTTATTTTAGAAGAAGAAGAAAGGCAAGGGAGGAAAGGGGAAAGGAGGAGGAGAAGAAGAAACAGAAGAAATAGAGGATGTAGATAAAAAACCAGAAGAAAAAGAAGACACAGCAAAAGACAAAGAAGAATTAAAAGAAACAGCTGAACCAAACAAAGAAGAAAAAGAAGAACCTAAAACCACAGAAGACAGTGAAAAAGAAAAGAAAGATGATGAAAAGGAAAAGAAAGATGATGAAAAAGAAACAAACGAAAAAGAAGCTGAAAAAGATGCTGAAAAAGATGCTTCCCCAAAGGAAGATGCAAGAACCCGAGTAAAGGAGGCATTTGATTCAATTCATCTACCTAAAATGCCAAAACTACATAGACCAGATTTTATGAAGAAAAAAGAAAAAGCAGAAAACAAGGTACATCATTTATAGGATACTAGGCTTTTAGCTCTTGCTTTTAAGTAGCTATTTTTTCTTTGTTGAGTTTTAGCGCAAAGTCGACGTTGGGTGGATACGTTTTCAGAATTGTTTTCTTTTTTTAATTATTAAATAACGAAGACAACAAATGTAAATTCCACAGTAAACTAATTAGTTGTTTAGGAACAGGTTGAGAAAATAAAAATTAATCTAATCTTCGAAAATGAGTAATCTTATTCAATTATTAGTTTCTATAACCTCTGGTTATTATAAAGACGACATCTGAAAAATTTGTAGAAATCTTCGAATAAATTCATAGAAATTAAGAAATTCAATAAAATGATGAAAACGAAATTATTGATTCTAACATTGACTTATTGACAAATTTCTTTTGAGAAATATGTTCCCAACCATCTATTTAGTTTACTGTATAATTTTTACTTGTATTTTTTGTCGTCGTTATTTAATAATTTTAAAAACCGATTCTGAAAACGTACCCACCCAAATTCATGATTTTGAACGTCGACAATGCACTCAAACTCAGTAATTATACATCGTGGAAACGTTTTATTTGTCTCAAATGAATCCTAAAGAATTTGTCCACCAAACTGCATACTCAGTTTAACTACCTTACATAGCCGGTCTGTCCCATTAAGCTTGTTCAAATCGAGGATTTTTCTAAAAGCTTTAATTAAGTAAAAAAAAATGTTAAAGGCAAAATTTTTCAATTTCTTTAAACTTCAAAAGTTTTTACCACACACCATGAATTCATTAAATTTATGCGACATTACTGGTACAATTTGTTGACCTCGTAGCTCCTCTAGTTTTGATTTAACACACAAGTATGAGAAAAGCTAATTTATCCGGTATTTAAGAAAAGAAATCCAAAACATTTTAAATTTTTCTGAGTAGTTCTTCAATAACAGAAGTTATAATTGAGAACACTTTAAATTTTAATCTTACGTCCAGGCAATTTACTTTAGTTCCAGTTATAATATTAATATTATTTTATATTATAAATCTATATTTTGTTGCAGGAAGAAGAACCAGGAACTGAAATGGTTGATGCTCCTGGGGAGAAAGAGATCCTTGAGAAGAAAGAAGAAGCTGCTGAAGCAGATTTAACTCTGGAGAAGGTTGAAGAAGGAGAAGAAAGTGAAGAAAAGGTTGAGCAGGAACCTAAAAAGTCCCTAATTGACACCTTGAAAGGACTGAAAGCTCCCAAAGTCCCAAATCTATTCGGGAAAGGAAAAAACAAAGAAGAGGTGGAGGGAGAAAAGGGAGAAAAAGAAGGAGAAGAGGAGAAACTGTTGGAGAAAGAGGATAAAGAGGGGGAAGAGGAGAAAGGGGAAGGGGAGGAAAAAGATTCTGATGGGATAAAGGATAGTGCTAAATTTAAAAGATATTCAATTCTTAAGACTATCAGGTATTACTATTATTTCCATTATTATTATCATTCTAATTATTATCACAGTCCTTGTCATTATTATTATTATCATAATTATAATCATTTTTTATATTATTATTTTCATTATTTTTATTTTTGTTATTATTTTATTTCTTTGTTTCACTATGCTACACACTATAAAATGTCTTAAACTTCAGACACGCCGCTACCGGGGTCCCTGCCTTGTTCCGAGGGGAGGGAGAGGAGGTCGTAGATGCTGGAAAGCAAGAAGAGAAGGAGGAGAAGGAGGAGAAGGGTGAGAAGGAAGAACTTCTTGACAAAAAAAGCTCTGAAGATATTTCTGATACAAACAAGAAAGATGGACTTCAGGAGATAAAGCTTGATATAGAAAAGGTAAACTAAAGGTTTATTAAACTTAATTATCCCCATAATGTTTGTAAATGTTGCTACAGTTTACAATTTACATCGAAAAACTTTTTTTTGGAATAAATTGTAAAAAAAAATTTTTGAATGAAAGTTTTTCCTGCAAAGAAAGTTAATTATATTTTCAAATAGTGGATAACAAATTTATTTATATTTTCATATAGTGAATAACAAAGGATTTGAGTCTTTGCAACAAACTCAAATTTTCCAATCCCTATATCTATCGAGCCTGATGGTGTACATCTTAAATATTTCAAACTTAGATTATAAGCACAAGCAGAATAAACAGTTTGAAATATTAAAGATGTAAAACATTTGGTTGCAAAGATATAGAAGTTAGAAATTCAGAGTTTGTGGTGAAGACTCAATTCCTTTATTTCTTGTTTCTTTCGGAATAGAGGAGGAAAAAATTAAAGAAGAAAAAAATGGAAATTTTAAGAGAAATGATTAAAGATTTAGTATTCAAATTTATGATTGAAATTTAAACCTAGGAAGACGACGTAAAAAGTGTGGGCAGTGAGAAGAAGGACCCGGAAAAGGGAGGAGAAGAAGCAGAAGATGAGAAGAAGAAGAAAAAGAAGAAGGGTTGCCATCATGTGTTCCATCAAAGATTCAAGGTATTAAACTTTATTTGATTGGGAAACCGTATTTCTAAATCCTTTACAGATATCTTGGCTGCTAGATTTGTGATAAAACCTCCAGTATTAAGATTAAGTGCGACAAATAGATTTTTAAACATTCTCAATACAATGTTGTGTCATTTCAATTGAACTTTTATTAAAAGAAGAGATTCCGATTCACAACGGTTCCTTTAATCCTTAATCTGAGAAATTCTCTGGAAGAAATCAGCTTGAAAAGTGTTTAATTCTGATTTCTGTCAAATTCCTCTATCTTATTTGTTTCTGAAGCAGAAATGTGCTAGACACTTTGCACCAAACTATTTTTAATGACGATTTAAGGGATTGTGATAAATCTTATAAAAGGGGTTAAAATTTTTAAAACTTACAGTTTTTATTGTTTTTATTCCGTTGTTAATGAGTATTTCTAAGCATTTCTTAAAATATCTTGTCTTTTGGTGGATTAGACTATTAGTTTTTACTATTACCAGTTTTATTAGATTCGAATCGGAAAAAACGAAGGGGGGAATGGGGGTATATAAGTACGTATGATCTAGGAAATGTCCCTGTTTAGACTGGTTTGTCTAAATTCCAAGAGGGGAGTGTGCAGGTAGAGAGTAAAAGATAAATGAAATCTTCGGAGGCTAGGATATAGAGAAATATTTTTCCAATTTATTTCTTCAGTTCTAATATATTTCTCTTCTAATCTAATCTACAGAGGAAACTTAAATCAAGATTAATTCTCAGAACTTTTGCACATTACAGATCCATATACAGATATATGGATCAAATAAAGTTTTCTTGAAAGTTTGGTGATTGATTCAAAAAGTTAAAAATTTGAAAAAGCTTTTAATAAAAAACATGGAGACCAACTTGACAGATGAAATGGTAATTTCTAAATAATCGAAAATAATAGCTTAAGTCCCAACTAAAGAGGGAGAGGAGTTGAGCCATACCCTTTAGGGAGAACTTTACTGTAAGCGATAAAGCATAAATTCCCATATTTGATACTCAACAAAAAAGTGTCAATCTCTTTTCTGTTCAAAAATAATCTAAGATACTTCTTTCAACATTGTTTTCGCCAAACTTAGTTATTTTAACAATTTAAAATTTACGAAAAAGCTATAATATATTTATGAGAGGCAGTTTTTAATCCTGACTAGTGACCATCCGTAAAGCAACAAAATTGTATTTTTTCTCAGAATTTGTTACTTTTTTCCTATCCAGAACCTGGATGACCAGCAGAAGATTGGGGTTGTTGGAATGCTGACCGGACTCTTCCTTATTCTCTTCATCATAGTTGTTGGCGTAGCAGCAGCTTCTGCACCTAAAGAATGGCAAAATACTCATAGGTAGGTAGTCACGGAGTAGATAGATATGGAGTCGGAATAGAAAACTTAAAGGGAGGCAGTCGCGGAGTAGAAAGACATAGTGTGGGAAAAGAATACTCATAGGTAGGCTGTCACGGAGTAGATAGATATGGAGTGGGAATAGAAAACTTAAACGGAGGCAGTCGCGGAGTAGAAAGACATAGAGTGGGAAAAGATTACTTATAGGTAGACAGCCACGGAGTAGATAGATATGGAGTGGGACTAATATACTTATAGGTAGATAGTCACGGAGTAGGTAGACCTGGAATTGGAATAGAATTCTCATAGATAGACATAGAGTGGAAATATAATAGGTAGGCAATCACAGAATTGTTAGACATGAAAGTAGTGATCCAGCCGGTCTGACCTCTCAGGGAGGAGATAGGCATGGAGTGGAGATCCAGCCAAAAGAATTTTAGTAAAACTCCAGTATAATACATATTTTTAACAAAAACATTATCAGTTAATTATTTTTTAATCTAAATGTTCAGGCTGATAAACGGAGGGGGCGTGGTTGAATCTCTTACAGGGTGTGGCAAAGTCCTTGGTAAAGTGGATGGAAATAATATGTACTCTTTTAGAGGAATACCTTACAGTGTTCAGGTACTAGAAGTTCATAATTAAGTATTCGTTCATGAAAATCTGTATATATATACATATATATAATTATATATATATATAAAATTTATACCAGTGAAATAAAATATCTAAAAGTAAGTCATCAAATTTAAAAGCCTCATCTGTTTTACCTCCCCAACTCACTTATACTTTTTTGTAGCTCCAGTCATGCACATTTTAAAAATGCAAAGTGCTTGTTTTTAGCTTAGATTTAAAAGAAGTATAAGTAAAATACTGCTAAATTTTTTTCCGTCAAAGAATGCACATCTTGGCTTGAAGTGATATGATATATATTATAATTCTTTTTTGAATAAAAAGTTAAGTTTAAAAAATTAAAATGTATAATTATTTATGTATATATATATATATTGTATTTATTGTTTATTCTATATATTTTTGTATATTTATGTACGTATTTATCAATTCCAGTTGTACATGAATAAATATATGTTTATGTACAGGTTGAAAGATTTGAGCACAGTAGAGTACCCATGTCATTGGAAGAATGTGGCGAGAGACTTGAACGCCCCGTCAATCAATCAATCACTTGTATCCGCCGTACTGCTCAGAAAGGTAAACAAATAGTAATAATAATCATATTATTAATAATAATAAAAACAATAATTATTTTTGAATATCTAATTTTTTTTCTCTTTTTTCTGACAATTAGAATTTTTAGACCTAGTTGGAGAAGAGAATTGTCTAAACCTGGACGTGTTTACCTCCAGTGTAATGTACAAGGACGCTAAACCGGTTATTGTGTATGTACCCGGCAACGATGCTGAGATATTGCCGGACTCTGAACTCGCGAAGCAGAACGGGGTCGTCTTCGTTGTTGTAAACGTGAGACAAGGCGTGCTGGGTTTCCTTTCCCACTCAGTTCTTTCAGGTTGGATATTTTAATAGAACACTTGATTAAAGGGACTGTCATCGTAATTTCAAGTGACCCTACAGCCTCCATGCATAAATTGTAATGCCCGACTCAAAACAGTACCTTTAAAAGCTTTGTCAGATCCAGTATGAATGATGTCACAATTTAGAAAGCTGAATACTTTAATTGTAGTTTCTCTATTAAAGTGAATTGCGCATTTCTACTTAAGTAAACTTATTATAATAATAAGATTTGAATACGTTTCAAACTAGAAAAAGTATTTTCCATATTGTTTATCAGATAATGTTTTCAAGGGTATTGTTGTGAATCTAACATTGCCATCTTTGCAAGAAGGGTCCCTGTTTAGACTGGTTTGTCTAAATTCCAAGAGTATCAGTGATCAAGAGTATCGGTGAAATCGTTGTTAATCCACCTAATAATTGAATACTTTAACGTTACTCTTAAAAGATTACTTGCAGATTTGCAGCATAGACGAGGAATGAAGGAGATTTATAGTATTCAGCACTTTTAAAGATAGATAAACTTCGATATCTTCCTTGTTGATCTGTTGTGAATTGAACATGTCACTCTATAATAGAGGTTCCCTTTAGATTATCATTTTATAGAATCTGCATATCCTGAAACAAGTGGAAACTATGGACTAGGTGACCTTGTCACAGCTCTTCAATGGGTTCAGACAAATATTGGACATTTTGGCGGGAATCCAGGTTCAGTCACGCTCATGGGACATCAGCAAGGGGCGAGCCTGGTCACTGCAATCACTGGTGTACATAGAGCTCGTGGGTTGTACAACAGGATTTGGGCAACAGGTGGGGTCACCATTTTATAATAAATCTATTTTTTCTTTCTCAATTTCCCGATATGTATCTATATGATAAGCTAGATGAATTTACACTTTATTTTCTAGATGAAATATTTTGGCAAAGATTTCCTAATTCTTCCTGTTCAAAGCCTCTTTAATAAAAAAAATTACATTTAAAGAATTATCCGTGGTTTAAAATGTGCCATAGTCAATGCACACCTGGCACAACGGTTCAATTTGTTTTTTTTTGCATTATAATTTAATATTAAGGGAAAATTGTTTTTTTCGATCATAAAATTGATCATAAAATTCATACTCATCACCTTTACTTTTATAATCGCTGAGTTGAGGAGGTACTGCTATGATTGGTTGATGGAAAGTTGGGCCCATCGTTTTTATCCGTTTTCTAGATATTACAGGATCTACGGAATTTATTTTTCCATCAGCTTTCTTTCATGACTTTATACAAAATTTTGATTATAGCAGAAGGTTAAAGCAAATTCAATCGTTCTGAGCTGAAAACTTTAGAGTGGTGGATATCGAGATCAATGCTTGATCCTCTCTTTTTCTTAATCTCCAGATTAAATAATGCTTGTTCTCCTCTTGTTATTAATATCCAGATTAATTAACCGATCGGGATTAAGGATATCCCATTCTAAAGTTTTCAGCTCTGAGCACCTTTAAACAAGTTTAATTATGTGCAAATTTAAAAATTTTTGTGGAGTCTCATAAAATACAAAAATTCTGAATATTTGAAGATTTAAAATTTTTTTGGGAGTTGCATACTACTCTGTTTAGTTTATTTTATCATTTAGTTTACAATATTATATGATGTTTACAACTATTTTCAGATTTTTGTTACTATTTTTTAAATTTGTGTTATATATTCTGAAATTCTATTGATTTCAGAAATTTTGTTAATTTTGTATTAAAAAAAAAAATTTGTTTGAAAACTTATATCAAACAATGCCTAAACTCTAATGGTATACTCTTGAATTAATTTATGATTATTACTAACAAACTAACAATATGTGTGGTTAGGTGGAGCAGGACGGTTTAGTAACTCTAGCCTGGAGGAGGCTGAGAAGAACTGGGAGAAGGTTGTCAACAAGTTCTGCTCCGGTAACATGGTCAGGGAGTGCATTGAAGATGTTGATGTTGAACAACTTCTGGATGCCGTGGATCAGGTAAATGCTCAGGAGGCTGAGCAAGTGTAAGACCATTTACGAAAGGCCTTTTCCATATGACAACTTCGAAGTGCCAACTTCCTAAATGTGCAATTTCCAAAACGGCTACTTTCCAAAGGTGCCGAAGCTGCGACGGGGACCGAGCGCTGCGACTAAAATGGGTAAAGGGACCGAGCGCTGTGGCTACAACATACTTTGGAAGTTGCCAGTTGCAAAAATATCCTTGGGAAGTTGCCGCTTGGGAAAATTCCTTTTGAAATTTGGAAAGTATTTGAGAGCGTACTTTTGATTGGTCAAATTGTTCTTCTACAGTGAAAACCAATTGTAAAACAGAATTATATTGTCGTTTACACATTTACCCATTTAATAAGACCGAATAATTTTGTATTTGTATCAAACTCAGCCACAGTTGCATACCAAAATGAATCATATTTGGGTTATTTATTTCTAATAGAATCTCATGAATCTTTTTCACCTTTTAGAAAAAAATTTAATTTTTTATGTCACTCTGAAGGTTTTTGAGGGCTTGAGTGTTGGTAACCTACCTCGGAATGGAGGAGAGGATATGCTTGGACTGCTCACGCTGGATTCACATCTACTCACTCAACCCCTCCTCCAGACCTGGACAACGTCAGGATTCGGAGTTCCAATCATATTTGGTAAATACATAAAGATATTCCAGGGGAGGAGAGTTCAAAACTGTGCTATTGTTCTAAACATGACAATAAATATTCCAGGGGAGGAAAGTTCAAAACTGTGCTATTGTTCTAGACCTAACAGTAAATATTAGAGGAGTAGAGTTTAAAACTGTGTTTTTGTTCTAGACCTTTCAATTATTATTCCAGGGGAGAAAAGATCAAAACTGTGCTATTGTTCTAGACCTGTAATTAAAAATTTCAGGGGAGGTGATTTCAAAATCGTGCTTTTGTTCTAAATTTTCCAGGGAAGGAGAGTTTAAAACTGAACTGCTAATCTAGACCTGACACTTAATGTCCCGGGTTCCTCCCCATAATACATACTACAAACTGTTAATAAAAAGTGTACTGCTGTATGTGGGAGGAATGTAAACAACCTCCAAGGTTTGTTTATAATCCTTCCACAAACAGCAGTACACATTACTGTAATCAAAGATATTAGGGTTTCTGATGGGACTCAATTCATTGACAGCTTGTAAATCAAGAATATATGTTTCTTGACTTGTTGGGCTTATTCCATTACAAATTAGAAGCTTTCTTTTTAACGTCTTATTTATTTGAATTTATTTGAATCGCCGATTCAAATCCTTCTTTAATCTGTAACTTTCGATCAGTGGTTCAAATTTAAGGTAGTTTAGCAGCGTAGCTCAAATTAAAAAAATTCAGTCCCAAATAAATTTTATTTAAAAGTTGTTTTTAAATTATCTTCTATGGGTTAACCTTATGCTTTTTACAGGAACAACTGCCCAGTCTGAGGCTGCCTGGGATAACTTCCAGTTCCTGGATTGGAACAACACAGACCTCTACGAGGAGATGGTGGAGGGGTCCCTTGGCAGCTGGAGTATAGATCTTGCATCTCAGGCACTTAGCAGGTAGACTTTCATGTAAACTCGAGATGTATGTATTTATGTCTTGTACATTTCATTAGAAGGGGATAGTTCATTTGCCGTACCGTCACGTTTTGCCTTAGCTATTGTCGGCCCTGTACTTGAAAAGAGTAAAGTTACATGTTGTAAGAGCATAGTGGCTCCATGTTTGATACAAGTTGTCATGTTGATGTAAATAAAGTGAGAACCATAATACTGTGGGGTAGGAAGGCGACATTTAAACATTTTTATGTGTATTTGATGTTGTTATAAGGAAAACAGGTTTACTTTACCACCCGCTTCACAACTATTAAGTGAAGTGTATCTGTGTATATTGCACATTGCTGTGTTTTGTGCTCGTTAAACTATGTAAAATTCTAACTTGAGTTCTGAAAGTCGTCTTCCTATTTTTCAGTTTTGTGGGTCTCACTGTATCTTTTGATACATAAAAATATTACAGTACAGTGCTTGGCTTACATAAACACTAAGTAAATTTTAAAGCTCTTTGGATCTATTTCCTGAAAACATTTATAATTTTATATAATGCAACAACTCCTTTACTTACTAATTAATATAGGACTACATTCATTTTTTAACTGACAATTCCATGATTAATTTTTTCTTAATCATTGAAAATACAGAAATATGTTTCGCTTTTCTTGCTAATTTTGTTCTATCATAGCAGAATTTTACTTGATTCAATTATTTTTTCATAAAATAAAAATCGTACATATCTGAAAATTGGTCAATTCTAAAGATTTGCTTCTCTGTTTGGGTTTCTGTTTGTTTGTATCCAATAAACGTCAAAACAGCTGAACCGATTGGGCCCAAATTTTGTGCCATATTTATGAAATAAAGGTTCTAAATGATACTTTTCACGATGCAAACATTTACGTATTTGCTTCCCATTAGATCGATTTAGAATTTCACTATCGGAAATTTAAGTCAGTTTCCTGGGTATGGTAAACTAGATTCTAATATATCTTGTTTAGATACAACAACTCCAACAACTGGATAAGTTACATGACGATGGTCTCAGATATCCGCTCAGTGTGCCCTCTTCAGGCTCTCACCAAGCTAACCCGTACACCCCTGTACGTAGCAACCAATGCAAATATGGAGTCGGAGTTTGGTTTGGTAACCGACAGTTCGGCGGACATTGCCGCAATTTTTTCCAAAACAGAAACTGGCGCGTTTACGACAAATATGAAAAAACTCTTCTTTGATTTTGTGAAGCATCAAAATTACTTTAATGGCGTCCGATTAATTGGAGAGAATATAGATTCAGTCAAAAATATGAGTAATTGTGACTTTTGGCAAAATTCTGATCCAAAATTAGTTCCTGATTTTGGAAAAATATTTTAAAATAGTTTTAGAAAATATATATAAATTCAAATATTTTCCCTAAAGTCAAAGATTAAACTGCCATTTTTTCTGGTTCAAATTTAAAAGTAAATACTTTAAGTGACCTTTGAACTCTTTTGCATTTTGCTTACATTTAAATTATTTTAAGTATCTAAAAATCATAACAAAAGTACAAAAAAAGATTTTGAAAAAGCTTTACAATTTTTATCAAATTTAAACAAATAGCCCCGTCTTTTTAGGTTTCCATCATTTACTAGTCTTTTTTAAATATATATAGCTAGTCACCTTACCCCATGCCTAAGATATCATTTTGTATACAATCACTGGTGTTACAATTTATGTAACTATAATTAAAAATATATTTTAAAGGGGTGTCAACAAAATAAAGTTTTTCTTAAATAAAAGTGGTTCTTAGAGACAGTACAGTACCCTTTTACCCTTCATCTAATAAACAATGGCTAAAAACTATTTTTCTCAGAGTCATATAACTGTAAATTCTTAATGGCACTCTTTAAGTGGAGGTTCACTTAAGATAACGTTGACAGTCCCTTTAAAAAAAAACAATAATAAGTATTTTCTAATCTGGTCTTTTTACAAAAATTTCTAAATTTAAAAATTTACATTGATAACCAGAAAGCTATTGAATAGGATTGTGCATTGATATTGTTACAAAGCAAATAGCTTTACAAGTAAGTTATTAAATCACTGTAGAATGTGTCTGTTTACACTGCACAACTGCTGTGCCTCATGTTTATTGGTCTATATTTAAGGTTTTAACTTGCGTCTAAAAGCTGACTTCCTATTCCAGAGATTTCTGATTACCGCTGTAAATTAAATGCTTACATATAGACTTCCCAAGCTCATTGTATTCTTTGAAGTCATGTTTTCTTCGTCTTTCCAAAAGTTTCAATATTTATGGATTTTTTTATGTATCTTGTATCTGTTACCGTGAAAATACACTGTAAATAAGGAATTTATTTTAATTTTTAATTTGTATGACTAAAATGTTCTCCAGAAAACAGAGAAATTCTCGTTTTTTCTTTTAATTTAGAAAAGTAGGAAAGAACTTCGCTATTTCTATTTAATCTATTTCTATTAAAGTGCCCAGAACATTTTAGAAAAAAAGCCGCCATGCAGGTTCATGTTGCATGCAACAATTGCAATCACAAACATCTTATTTTTACTTAATCAAAAGAAAAACCCAAGACTGCATGACTCCAGAGTGTTTCTAATTGTATAGATTATAGAAAGTAAAGTAGTATAATGGCTTCAGAACAAATATTAAAGGTTTTCAGTATTTGATGTGCCTATACTGAAATATGTATACTAGCCTGCCCCCCACCCTATAAAAAGGCCTTATACAGGGTGTCCCAATAAACATAGGAATTCAGTGACGAATTCGATATCGTCTTTTTAAATAATTCTTTGATTTAGTATAGTGATACCTACTGAGAAAGCCTGTAATAGTTTCGGCTGCTATGTTCACATTTTGTTTGTTTATGTTTTGACTGCATTCGGTTGTACTTAGTAAAACAAGAAAATTAGAGTATACAAACAGAGTAAACTTGTCCGTCATCACTGTTCATCTTGCGGAGACATTATAGACACAATCTTTAGTCTTTTACCCTTTTCATAAAAACTCTAGCAGACATACTAATATTATGGCTTTTGAAATTAGGTATTACAATGTTAATTTTAAAAAAGATGAAATCGAATTCGTCAATGAATTCCCATGTTTTTTGGGACACCCTGTAGTATAGTTTATTTGTTTTCGACAAATATCATGATGTGACACATGTTACTAAAACCATTTTTCAAGGGCTTTTCAAAAATCTGTAGCTTTAGTATTGAGTTAATTTAAGAGGTATTTTATATTTTTTTTTACACGGACCGGCCTTTTTACCGCCAGCTCTACCTGTTCTTATTTATAAAAAAATCAACATAAAATCCTTTAAACAATTTTGTTCAGATTTTGAATATTTTGGGATTCTTTAAGAAATTGGAGTCTAAGCAGAATTCTTAATGTATGATTATTGTTATAAGAATCATAGGTGTTAAAGTAGATTAACGAATGAATGAATGATAACGCAAATTATTAAAAATTTCAACGACATTTTTCAACTCGCCTAATCACTTTGATTTAAATGTCTCAAACTCGATAGCAGAAATCGATGAGAATTTTGCCAATTACTTCTTAAAGACTAAAGCTAACAACAAATGCTTCAAAGTGCTAAAAAGAGCTACAGAAAAGCAGAAGTGAGCTAGAGCGCGCGGTAAAATCAAAGCCCAAAGGATCGCGACACTTCCAAGTCGATCCTGTTTTAATAATTTAAGTTTTTAAGTTTTTCCTGGGCCGCCCTGTAGTTTAGTTATTTTATTTTATCCAATATAAGTTTAGTTATTTTATTTTATCCAATATATAAGTTTAGTTATTTTATTTTATCCAATATATAAGTTTAGTTATTTTATTTTATCCAATATATAAGTTTAGTTATTTTATTTTATCCAATAAGTTTAGTTATTGCTTTAAATGTTTGTTTAATTTGGAGACGTTTGCACTGTCTGCTTTTTAGTAAATTTCTGAAATTTTTGGGGGGAATTGTTTTGACAAATACAACTTATTTAGAGGAAAAATTTAAACTTCGGTTCCACAAAGTCTGTGCCAGATCGGTTTAGCAGTTTCGACATTCATTGGATACAAAATCCAAATCCACGAACCAACAAAATAATAGATATATTTAGCTAAGATAAATTTATTCAATGTATCGAAATGTAGTGACAGGTTTTTTAATTTGATTAGGTTTCATAGAAGATTTCATTGTTTTCCTTGAATTTTCTCTTTTAATCGTTTTAACATGGACAACTTTTTTAGATTTTTTCACTTGGTCAACATCTTTCTCCAATCCTCTATCTTCTTTAACAATTTGACTGATTTCTTTCTTTTTTTCAACTTCTTTAAACTGTTCTACGAGAAAAACTTGTTTTCTAAATTTATGATGCTCATAGGCAAAGGCAGCACCACCTAATTCATACCAAAGATCGTCTATAAAAAGCAAAATTTTTAAGATGACAAAAATTAATAGTAGAAATGTTTCTTAAAATCAAAAATACGACATACTCAATGTTAATTTATTTGCAGTTGTAAATATTAAGAATAGAAAATTTTTTCTTCTTCCTTTTTTATTTTTAAAAATGCCGTCAATGGTTTTGCATTTTTTCCGGTTTAACATCTGCAACAAATATTAAATCAATCAATACATTTTTAGATAATAAAAGGAAGACGACAGCTTTTTTTTCTTTTTTTTTGGTACTTGTCATATTGTGTATTGATATATGAAAATGTTATATTTAGATTAAATACAGTAGTAGGCGATTATATAAATACAATGAAGACGAATTTTTTAATTTAAGTTTTGACTGTTTAAAAGTTTTTTTTTAGTTAAAAGTTCACAAGAGAAGTTTTTTTAATTGACAACTTCTCTTGACTTCTATGTTATATGTGTAAACATACTGTTCAAAAGCTTAATATAAATAAAAATTTTAATCAAAAGTAGTTTTCATTGTATTGATATAATCGCCTAACACTGTTTGTTTTCAATTGTTAATGCAATAAAAGCATGTTTTTTTGAATGAAGACGACTTTGCCTAGAAGGAGTCCAAAAAAGTAAATAATGAAGCAAAGATATAAACTCTCCATGTACAAGGGTTCAGGTTCAGATTCAGTCTCAGTCACTTTGAGGGCTCTTCCATAGTGTATACGCAGTATATGTATCATCAGCCCTAATTAAAGGGACAGTAAGCGTAATATGAAGTTCATTACAAATTGTAAAGGGACCTTTTCCAATTCACAATGATATTTTTAAAAGCTTTGTCTGATCATGAATGCATGGTTCACTAGAAAACTACCATATCTTTTACATTAAAATCTTAAAGCATGCCGTTGTTAATCGCGGACGGTCTTTTTTGGGGTTTTATTAATGTTGGATCAAAACGGTCCCTCTGACGGCAAGTTTCTTGTGCAACTATTGATAAAACAAATCTGCGAAATGTTAAGTACAACGTTCATACTTCTCAAAGGGACTGTAAGCGTAATTTAAAGTGACCCTATATTCAAAGATGGCCATTCCCGATTAACAACGATACCCTTGAAACCATTATCTGATAATTAATATTAACGTTACTGTCGTTTACTAGTTTAAAAAGTGATCCAATGTTTTCCTACATAGATACTCAAATCATTTTTTAGAGAAGCTATGCAACTCTAAAGTTTTCTAAATCATTTACATTGATATAATTTATACTTGATCAGAAAAAGCTGTTCAGAACTTAAGGGTACCGTTGTGAATCAAACCTTGCCATATTTGCACGGAGGGTCACTTGAAATTACGCTTACAGTCCCTTTCAGTATTTGAGATCAGAGGAAAAAGACTTGTCATATAAAAGAAATGTTTAAAATTAACATTTTCTCGAGAAAATTCGGGAAATACTTTATGAGTGTTTTTAAACCTGAATCCCAGAGTTGTGTTATAAACCGTTGAATTGTTTCCAAATATTCTCCTTCCCGTTTATATAACCAACCATTAATAATTTTAGGAACAAAGATACCGCCATCATCGAAGGTAGAGAGAGAAACGGTTACCTTAAATACAAAAAAAAAACTATGCTACTTCTCTTACTCCTTCTTCTACTACATCTTCTACTCCTTCTTCTACTACATCTTCTACTCCTTCTCCTACAAACATCTCCTTCTCCTTTTCCTACTACATCTTCTACACCTTCTCCTACTTCTTCTCCTTCTACTACTACTTCTCATACTAATTCTTATACTACTTCTCCTTCTCCTTCTCCTTCTCCCACTCCTTCTCCTACTCCTACACCATTACCTACCTATTTATTTACCTTTCCTTAGCTTCTATAATTTCTACTTCTTCATGTTACTAATACTCAATAACCTCCCCAGTCCCCACCCCCTAATTCCCTTTTTCTTATCTATAATTCCCCTTTACCATATACTAAAAAATTTAAAATCCATGTTTATCATATCATATATATATAATGCATTCATTGATTTTTCACTAGAATATTTTTTCTACTATTCTAAAACTTTGAAGAAAAAATAATCCCACCCCTTTCTAAAGCAGATTTGGATTAGGTTTATTATTATTATTCATGTTTTATTTTTGAATTTATAATATAAATATATAGTGGTTCACGTCAAATTAATTTTAGATTTAATTTTTAAGAATTTTTAAAGCTTTTTTTCTGAAGGAATTTAAAGTTAAAATTTCCATCGCGAAAACACTTTTTACATACTTGCAGGCGTAAAGTCAAAACTAGAGGAGAGACGAAGCCACAATTTCATACTAGGTATTTTGCTTGAAGGACTTCAGACTTTGTCACAAACTCTGATTTTCTAATCCCTATATCTTTGCAACCAACAATTCAAACTATAAATAATAATAATCTTTCTTTGAAATATTAAATGTTTACACCATCAGGTTGCAAGATGTATTGTGATTAGAAAATTTGAGTTTGTGGCAAAGATTCAATTCCTTTGACCTTTAAATAAATTGGAGTATTTGAAAAACAAACATATTTTTACAGATATAATAAAGTTTGTTACCTTTCCCTCCTTGAGCTGTTGTTGGGTAATCAAGTGTCTCATTGTGTTTAAATCCACCGCCACGCAATCTCCTCTTTTAGTGATGAAATCTGCCTTTTCAAGTTCACTTAAAGGGTAAATACGCAAATTATGCTTAAAGAGAAAGAATGTATGTCATTTTTGGCACTTTTGATAAGGTTAATAAAAAATATTGTTTACTTTCCACAAAAAGAAAAATTTTACTTTTTTGCATGCAACTTATTCAAATATTTTCAGTACAAAAGGAATTGGATCTTTGCCATCACACCCAAGTTTATAATCCCTTTACAACCTGATATTGTAAACTTAATTGATATTTAAAAATTAGATAGGTTGATCTAGCAGAATTCAAAGTTGAAATATCTATCGTTTATGGTTGTAAAAATAAAGGGATTAGAAAATCATAGTTTGTGGCAAAGACTCAATTCCTTTAAATCTAAAGGCGAAGGTGTAAAAAATCTAAGTTAATGTTTACGATATTAAACGTAACACTTCACAACTCACAAGTCCCATTTATGATTTTAACTAAACGTTAGACTTAAAACACTCCCGTTCGTTTCTGAGGAAAAGTTTAAAGAGTCCTTTTATTCAAAAATCTATCTCCTTTAAAGAAATTCAAGCAATTGATATTTATGAATTAACGATTGATAGTTAGATTAAAAAGGTAAAATATTTCGTTTCCAAACTTAAAACCAAAGTTTTTTTGTCCAAAAGGTTAAACATTTAGAAATATTTATAATTTCTAGCAAGAAGCTTTATTTAAATCTAGAATATTTTCTTACTTACGAATGACATAACGTCCTTGCTTCCTAAACAAAAAATAATAAATATATATATATATAAATGCAATATGATAATTCATGTTTAAATAGTTGTTGTTATTTCTTTATCTATATATGATTGAATTACAGTATATTCTATGTATATTTACGGGATAAAGTTTGAATGTAATATATTACACATTAATATATTTACGGGATAAAGTTTGAATGCAATATTACAAATTAATAAATTTACGGGATATAGTTTGAATGCAATATTACACATTAATATCTTTACGGGATAAAGTTTGAATGTAATATATTACACATTAATATATTTACGGGATAAAGTTTGAATGCAATATTACACATTAATATCTTTACGGGATAAAGTTTGAATGTAATATATTACACATTAATATAGTTTGAATGCAATATTACACATTAATATATTTACGGGATAAAGTTTGAATGCAATATTACACATTAATATATTTACGTGAAGAATTAAAGATTTTCTGCAATTAAATATATTATAGAAGACACTATAAAACAATAAATAAATAAATAAATAAAATATAATATTTTTTTACTTTAGTCCGTTAATAACATCAATATAAAAGTTTTCCTCCAGTTTGTAATGGTAGCTAATATGCATCTAAAATAGAAATTCAAATATTTAAATTTTTATTTTGTTTTTTTTACCTTTCGTTTAGATTGTTTTAAAAACTGTGCCATAGAAGTTATTTCCGGTTCGTATTCTACAGCCATTAACTTGGCCCTAAATAAAAATATCTTCTGAAATTTTTTTGTATTTGATAATGTAAACCTTTGTTATTTTAAACTAGGAATTCAGTTATGTCATAATCTAAGTTTGAAATATCAAAGGCTTACAATAATAGGTTGCAAAGATATATGGATTATAAAATTCAATCACTTTATCTAAAATAATTCAAAGTTTGAAATATCCAAGGTCAAGGACAATAGGATGCAAAGATAATAGGATTAGGAAATCAGAGTATGCTCATGGTGAAGTAATGACAAATTTATGACGTGTAAGATAGATAAATACATATGTTTGACTAAATATTTTAATAAAAAACAATTACAAGTACAGTGCTCAATTTTATATTTTAATTTAGCCAGGACCTTTCTAACCATTGCTGGTTGTTTTTGAATCAGAGGCCCTTTTGCAGTGATAAGTGTACATGGTAAATTAAAATAAAACCAAAGGAAACAGAAATAATTAAAAACTAATAAAATATTTTCAAATCTTGAGAAAACAACACTAGCATGCAGAATGAGACGCACTTTCAAATAACAGGGGCTAAACTGTAGTTATCAAATAACAGAGGCTAAACTGAAGTTGTCAAATAACAGAGGCTAAACTGAAGTTGTCAAATAACAGGGGCTAAACTGTAGTTATCAAATAACAGAGGCTAAACTGAAGTTGTCAAATAACAGGGACTAAGCTGTAGTTGTCAATAACAGGGGCTAAAATGTAGTTGTCAAATAACATCAAAGTCTTAAAAGTGTTTGTTAAATATTATCAAAAGTCTTAAAAGTGTTTGTTAAATATTATCAAATGACAAAAAGTGGTTGTTGAATAATATCAAAGGCTAAAAGGTGGTTGTTAAATAATTTCAAAGGCTATAAATGAAGTGGTTGTTAAATAATATCAAAGGCATTTAAAAATGTGGGTGTTAAGCTATATCAAGCGCTAAAATGTAGTTGTTTTTAAAGGCTAAATCATGGTTGTTAAATACTACTAAGGGCAAGAAATAGATTGCAAAATGTTATTATTAATTATTATTATGTCAAAATTAAACGTACAGTCCCTTAAAAGAGTATTTAATTTTTGACCTTTTCTCATTTTCTTATGAAAAGGTTCCTGGAAATATGCTCCAAAAGAGTAAAGTCCCACATCGGCAAATGATATGTTAGTTTCTGAATAAACAATTCAAAAATTATTATCAGTNTTTTTTTTCGGCACCGATATATCATTTTTAACAGGAACATATACTTGAAATAAACAAGACAAACATTTTTCCACTTTTTTATTATCCCTGTACAATACCTCAAAGCTGAAAGGTTGAATAATTTGGAAGAAATTAGTTTTTTTGACCGGCAGGGGGCAAACTTAAAATAGATATTAAAAAAAATTTATAAATCATAATTATAAAAATTTTGTTACTTACTTAAAGTTGTTCCCGAGTCATATATAGGCAACAAATTTACTTTGTTAAATAGAACTGTATTGTTGGGTCCGTAGAACATGTAGTTGTTGGAACAATGAATAAACGCAAATATTTCGTCATCTAAAAAAAACTTATTTAAACAAACTACAAGAGGCCAAGAATTTTGAATGCGATAGCCCTAAAATCAATGTCGAACTTCTGTTTAAAGCGATTTAGTGCTTAATCCATTAAAAAACTGACTCACATATAATTAGTGATTTTTTCATTATCAATTTAGACTAGACGGTCCTAATTATAGATATCGAGAAAAGAATTAACTTAATCTTATACGTAAAACGGATTACTACTTCAAGGGATTAACAATGCAAAAGTGCATGGATTCGTCAATTATTTCTTTAGACGTTTAAAGTTTTTTAATTCTGCATGCTTTGCAGTCCTTTAGTTTTTGGCGAACATTTCCATCCTTTAAAATGTATATTAACCTATTAGATGTTTACAGCCCCCGGTAAACAGTGTTTCATTGGTCACATTGCATCTATACTCCTCCCTCATTGTATACTTCAGACCAAACTGTTCCGCAAAAAGGTAAAATGTGGAGTAGGCTGTTCCAGACGGTATCATCCGCTCTCCAGCCTTATTCGTTCCGTTATAGGAGGCCCTAATAGAACATATTGTGCCGTTATAGGAGGCCATAAAAGAACATATTGTTCCGTTATAGGAGGCCCTAATTGAACATATTGTGCCGTTATAGGAGGCCATAATAGAACATACTGTTCCGTTATAGGAGGTCCAATAGAACATAATGTTCCGTAATAGGAGGCCATAATAGAACATATTTTTCCTTTATAGGAGGTCCAATAGAACATATTGTTTCGTTATAGGAGGTTCTTGTAGAACATATTGTTTCGTTATAGGAGGTCCAATAGAACATAATGTTCCGTTATAGGAGGCCATAATAGAACATATTTTTCCGTTATAGGAGGTCCAATAGAACATATTGTTCCGTTATAGGAGGCCCAATAGAACATAATGTTCCGTTATAGGAGGCCATAATAGAACATATTGTTCCGTTATAGGAGGTCCAATAGAACATAATGTTCCGTTATAGGAGGCCATAATAGAACATATTGTTCCGTTATAGGAGGTCCAATAGAACATAATGTTCCGTTGTAGGAGGCCATAATAGAACATATTGTTCCGTTATAGGAGGTTCTTGTAGAACATATTGTTTCGTTATAGGAGGTCCAATAGAACATAATGTTCCGTTATAGGAGGCCCTAATAGAACATATTGTTCCGTTATAGGAGGTCCTTATAGAACATATTGTTCCGTTATAGGAGGTCCAATAGAACATAATGTTCCGTTATAGGAGGTCCAATAGAACATAATGTTCCGTTATAGGAGGCCCTAATAGAACATATTGTTCCGTTATAGGAGGTCCAATAGAACAAAATGTTCCGTTATTGGAGGCCCTAATGGAACATATTGTTAACACTATTAAATTTGCGGATAAATGCTTGATCTCTCAATTAACGGTATATCCTTGTAGGATATTCAAGAGGAACGTATTAAGTAATTTAATTTTCATTTGATTTATATTTTTTTTCTATGAGATATACCTGAAATACCAGATCAATGTAAAGTGCTCAACAAGTACATGGATACCTTCAAGATCATTAGCCTAGGAAAACATTTTTGGGAACTTTTCAATTCCAGTTTTCTTTAGATGGGATGGGAGCTTCCCAAATTTCCCGGAAAAGTTTAAAATAAAGTATTTATTTAGATTTTTCTTTAATTATGTAGTTTTGGTAAGGCCGTCTCAGATGCCGTTATAGGCCGTAAGGGGACCAAGCTATGCGGCTAGGACAGATTAGGGGAGTACTGCGGCTAGAATATGCTTGGGGCCCAGCTCTGCAGAACGAAATCTGGAGTATATACTTGGAGGGTATTTTTTGATACCAGGGCACGATACGAAACGGTTTTGAAAAAATATTATTCTCATAAGCAAACGGTTTTTTAAATTTTTTTTAATATTTCTAGTTTTCTTTCTCTTTTTAGTTTAAAATACCTTTAGTGAATCTGATCTGTCTCTGGGAACACCTTTCAGTGTACATAAATGTTTTATCTTAAGTCTCCTATTTCTAAAAATATTTTTAAATACTGTTTTTTACAAGTTTAAAAGCATTATAACATGATTAATCTGACAAACTAAAAGAGAACAAAGCAGATGTTCCTGTATTAACATATGATTAAAACCTTTTGTTTGTTTTTTAAATAGGAAAACGACTCAAAGTTATTTTCCAGTTATAAGTGAAATACTATCAAATTAAGAATTAAGAAAATAAACATTGCCTCAACTCTAGCATACTGATTCCTTTACAGATTTGAAACTTGAAATCGGAAAACTTCGATATTTAGAAAGTTTCATTTTAAACGTTCTAGCAGAAATCATAGCTTTAAATACGAGCAATAGGAGGTTTGATTGCAAAGATATAGGGATTAGAAAATTAAAGTTCAGGGCAAGTGTTAAGTTTCTTCTATATACATATGTCACAGCAGTTTCAGTAGATTTTAATAATTCCATTTACTGTGTAGCCTCAATATAAGGATTTATCTCTAGTTGGATCATGAGATAGATAGATAAACGATACTGCCATGCAATTTCTAGCTATTGGTTCAAAATAGACACCAAACACATGACTGAACCCTGATTGGATCAGGAGCTAATGGAATCGCATACAAGTGTGGTGTATATGTGTGGCCTGCTTGTTTATATCCAATTTACTTAAACCAGCTTTACCATTCGGACCAAAACATTTAACATGACCCCAGCTAGGAAAGGGCTTAAACGGTCAAATTTGAAAAGTTTTGCCTGAGGAAAATACGCAATTTTTTATCATCGCAAAGCTACCACTAAAGCAAAAATTAAAAGCCAAAATTTTTACTTGAAAAGAAGCGCGAAGCGCCCTAAAAGCTTATTTTCTAATATTTCTATAAGTTAAAGTGCCTGGTTACCTTGTAGTTCTCTTGTACTTGTGATTATATATACTTACACTCCTAAATAAATATATTCAGGGTTTTTATTTGGTTTCATGAGTAATTCATAAATCAAAATATGCATATTTTAAATTGTGTTATGATTTGTAGATAGATAAGTGCAGTAAAATATCATATTCCAAGAAAATCTAATTAACCAAAAATTATGGAATTGATAAAAACATGTAAAAAGTTTTCTGTTTACCCTGTATACTTATAGTATATACATTAACCTACCAGCTAACTCTGTCTATATTCTTGACTCTAAACCTGTATATATGTCTAATATTAACCTATCTAGGTCTATACCCTTTACTCTATTCTGTATATATATGTCTAATATTAACCAACCTGTGTCTATTCCCTTGACTCTAACCTGTATATATGTCTAATATTAACCTACCTGTGTCTATACCCTTGACTCTAACCTGTATATATGTCTAATATTAACCTGCCTGTGTTTATATTCTTGACTCTAAACCTGTATATATGTCTGATATTTACCTACCTGTGTCTATACCCTTGACTCTAACCTGTATATATGTCTATTATTAACCTACCTGTGTCTATACCTTTGACTCTAACCTGTATATATGTATAACATTAACCTACTTATGTCTATGCCCTTGACTCTAACCTGTATGTATCATCAGCCCTAATTAAAGGAACAGTAAACGTAATATGAAGTTCATCCCAAATTTTAAAGGGACCTTTTCCAATTCACAATGATATTTTTAAAATCTTTGTCTGATTATGAATGCATGGTTCACTAGAAAACTGCCATATCTTTTACATTAAAAGCTTAAAGGATACCGTTGTTAATCTCGGACGGACTTTTTTGGGGTTTTATTGATGTTGGATCAAAACGTTCCCTCTGACGGCAAGTTTCTTCTGCAACTATGACTATTGATAAAACAAATCTACGAAATGGTAAGTACAACGTTCATACTTCTCAAAGGGACTGTAAGCGTAATTTAAAGTGACCCTATATCGATCGAATGTTTTCCACCATAAATACGCAAGTAGGGTTTCCACGAAAAAGTCAATTCTCTTGCGCAACAGTTTCGTGGTTTTGCACGAAATGACTTTTTTTTACACAAAATTCCTCATCATTTTCGTATCAATACGAAACCAGTTTTGCACGAAATTGCGCATTCATACTAAAAGTAATTCTTTTTTTGCACGAAATTTTGCATGAATACAAATTTAAGTCAGAATTTTTTTTATGATATTCGCATGAATACAGGTCATTTTTGTTATATCATAATAAGTGGCAGAACTGATAGTGAAAATATCTAAAAATACTTAATAAACCCCCTTTCCTAGGAATTCATGAATTGCTAAATTGCAAAACAGGGTGGACTTCTCCCTCCCCCCCCCTACAGGGGGGGCAAGCCTTTTTAAGGGAGGGGCATGCCCCCCTTAATCCAGATTGAAAAACATGGTAGACTTCCACCCTCCCCGAACTTTTCGTGAAAAAAATTTCGATTGGAAACCCTATACGCAAGTCACTTTTTTAGAGAAGCCACAATTTAAAATAGCCAGTTTTCTAAATTATTTACATATTGATAATTCATATTTGATCGGAAATTACGCTCACAGTCCCTTTAAGTACTTGAAATCAGAGGAAATAGATTTGTCATCGATTTTCTCGAGTAAATTCGGGAAATACTTTATGAGTGTTTTTAAACCTGAATCCCAGAGTTAAAAAGACAAACAAATCAATATTTCAAATAAAAAACAAAAAAATTAAAATCTGTTTTCTAATCCAAAAAGAATCCCAATATCACTTTGTATTCTGTTAGCACTCATATATCAAATGCATTTAAAGTAGCTTTTATGTAATATCATCTATAGATCTTTTATAAATTTTGTATAGTCTGCTGCCCATGTGTTCTATATACATGTATAATCTGTATTCAATAAACAAAAAGAAATTGCAACGTTATAATATATATTTAGACTCATCCTCATCTGCAAGTCTGTATATCATGTATTCTATTTGTGTGTATTAAACTTTTCCCTTTCAACCTACATGGATATGTATACATATGTGTAATGTGTATCCTCTGTATCTCATGTATTTTATGATCCTGTATCCACTGTATCCCATTCAACCTACATGGATATGTATACATATGTGTAATGTGTATCCTCTGTATCTCACGTATTCTATGATCCTGTATCCACTGTATCCCATTCAACCTACATGGATGTATCCTATGTATCCCATATCTATGCCAAACTATGGTCATGCTTGAACAAATCTTCTCAACACTGGGGNATACCTTTTTGACAAGCAATATTTTTGTTCTAACTTATCCTAGGACAAATAAGCAAAAAAGTTTATTTTTTGAGTTATTAAAGGGACTATAAAGGAAAAATGAAAGGGGGTATAAGCGGAAACCTGAGAATCTCAGGAGTTGAATGATAACTATAACACAGCGGATGTTCCTGTCACGTGGTACATACGAAGGCGCGTGACAATAATACTGCACTGATATTGGTTGGAGTTCTGGTGACATGTTCCGGACTCATAAATAATATTGTCAACTATATCTATTCAAAATGCAAAATAAAAATTAAAAAATTATAATAGGACCAAACCTGAGATTCTCAGGCTCCTCTGGGATATCTTTGTTTTCAGATTGGTTGCGTATTTGTTGAATATGATCTGTTTAATACTACGAATATTATACAAAATCTTTTTGGTATAACTTTGACACATGTTTCAATCAACCCCTGAGATTCAAAGGTTTCAGTCTATATACCCCCTTTCATTTTTCCGTTACAGTCCCTTTAAAAAAAATTAAACAAAATGTAATTGTAATTTCAAGTGACCCTCAAGCAAAGACGGGAATGCCCGATTCACAACAGTACCCTATAAAATATTTGTCTGATCAAGTGTAAATTAGATATTAATGTTTATAACTTTGAAAACTAATTGTTTTCAATTGTGGGTTCTATACGAAAGTGACTAACGCATTTCTACTGCATGAAAACATTTAAGAATTTTCTAGATTTAACACTGTTAAACCTAGAAAAATGAAAATATCTTCCACATTAATGATCAGCTAAAGGTTTAGAGTACTTTAAAATTAGGCTTACATTCCTTTATTATCCACAGCGTTATTAACAAAAATAAAAGGATTTCATATTTGAAATATGGAAGTTTATACGTAGAAAGTGATAATTAAGGAATTATTAAATAAATTGAGAGGATTAATCAGTAGTGTTGAGATAGTTTTCAACCAATGTTCAATCATGACTATTTTCTAGATGTTTTTTGCTTCCTGTAAATAATTTATGTTGGTTATAATCAGATGACAGAATTCAAAACCAGCTCCAGACTTTAGTCCAATGGTATCAGCTGCGTTTAGTAACATCTAAACAAATCCAAAGGTGAGATCCACAAAACTGTGAAATAGGAAGACAACATTCTTTATTGACATTATTCAAATCAAATATTTTTAATTAGTACTAGTTGTTTTAAAACAACGTATATGGAGGAAACCTGGTCTGTCTGTGTACACTGCTCAATAACCCTGAGGTAGAAGTTCAAAGGAGTTACGGAAAAAGTCCGTTCTACGCCGATTGCTCTTAACTTCTTTGGGCTTCTGCGTTTGGGTTAATGTGAACGAAAAACTCTTAAATCTGGAAAAGACGACATCTACTGTCCTATCTGTTATTTTAATTAATCTATGGTTGGATATACTTAAAAGTCGTCATTGAACTTTTGATTTGTTTTTAAAATTCAGTCGTCAATCTAATTTCTCGTGTATGATTCTTAAAACAATAACCACAAAATTCTCCTAGTCCTTCCGTTTCCTAAATGTGGTCTGCCTTTTTAGTGTTGTTAAGATAACCTGAGATATAAAGAATTTCGTTCAGATTTAAATTCTATTAGAAATTCTCGAAATCTTAACGAAATACGTTATATCTCCGTTAATATTGAAAGTACAACACAGACAGACCATATTTTGGGAATGCCAAGTTTAGGGATATTTTGTAATTATTAACTTTAGAATTTCTTCAAAATCAAGTTTAACATAAATGCCGCAAATTATTAAAAGATCAAAGACGAACTTCAATTCGCCATTT